AGAGTTGCTTTTTACGAGAGTCTACTGTAGTTGTCAACATCACGCTGTGCTCATTAACTCATATGCATTTAATTTGTTCAAAAAGAAGAATAAAACACAAAAATTTCCGCTACTCTCAAATTACTTTTCTTTTATTGCATAAATTCATTGAGTTTTTCATATTTGTTGTCCATAGAATGGAGCATGCACATTACGGCATCCGTTTCATAATGCTATTAAGTACTACAAATGCGCAGTTATTCTATGCGGATGCAATGAAAATTAGAGAGAAAAAAAATTTGTTATTCGAATATAATCGGTCATGGCTTATTTAAACTAATTATCAAAAAAGTCCTGATCAAAAAGTGTTCGAAGATCAAGACCTTGGAATGACTGTGCATGTGCATCGAATTGAGGATTAGAAACGACGGACGCTTGTTGCCCAGGCGGATGGGTGGATTATCCGTCATCTGATGTATACCGACCGATGGGTCAACCATTGGTTGTGGCGCTCCTTGTTGCTAACTGTGCCAAAAATACCAAGCAAACATTTAGTCGATTTGAACAATAAACGAATGATGATATTTAAAAAAACAGAACAAGCGACTATCAACAATTGTGGCAAATAAAATGGTATTATTTCAATACCTTTAATAAGACATGTTTGATTGATCAGCTGCTGAAATGAAGATAGGAAAGTAGTTTTGATGAATGAATGAATGAAAAAACAGCTGACCAGCTGGTGAGTCTTTTCTGAAGTTGACCGCTTCTCACCTGAATATTCGTTCGGGAGATAGTCCGAATGGGAATGTGTGGGTGCTGATACATTCGACACGAATTTCGGTTGAGGTTCCTGATATGCAGTGGTTTGATATGGATTTTGATGTTTTTGCGTTGGTTGTTGCCATTGTTGCATGAATTGACCTACTAATGATTGCTGATTTGGAAGAGCTGCTCCGGATGTTGCTACAACATATTAGGCAAGAAAAATCGCCAAATTTAATGTCGATTCCAGAACCAACCATACCGCCAAAAGCACTCACCAAATACGCTGGATGAGCTCGTTGTTGGCAAATTACCTCCGGAATTTTGTTGGTCAGATATTTGATTACCGGGCTGTAAACTAACTCTCCGAGTTCCATCACATGGAATGATACGTGTGACGGCATATTTTCACACGGAACTTCGTTCCCAGTGCGCCGAGTACTAGCTACATGTAATAACGTGTGGTTTCTAATATTCGGATACGTTCGCTCCATGTATAGCAAGTGCATGGCGCACTGGGAACGAAGTTCCGTGTGAAAATATGCCGTCACACGTATCATTCCCTGTGATGAAACTCAGAGAGAAGTGGATCACTGGAGTAGGGTTTGCCTTGGTCGGATTGTGACTGTAGATTCTCTTTCTGAGGTTGCTGTAACGAATTTGTCACTTTCATTCAAAATTCTCTATGTTTTTGTATGTGTAGAATTGATTTCAAAATATAACAACTACCTCATGACCATGCATCGATCCGACATTCGAGCATTTTATGTTGGGAACCCGATTTGAATCCTTCTTCGGGTTTGGATTCGTGGCACTAGCGATTTCCAATTGCTCATCATCATCACGATGTTGATTCTGAGATTCCGAAACAGTTCGTTGCCTTTCACTTTCGCCGGAAGTTCCAGCACCAGTTTTATCAAAACGTGACACATACTCCCTGAAATCAAAAACGCCATAGCACCACACTCATATATCACTCAATGAAGCAGCGGACTTGTCGGCACACTCGTGGATTTAGCATTTCACTTGCTTTGGCGATTCGTAAGTTGCCGAAGCATCATATATGCAGTGCACACGATATTTAACGTGAAAACCTATATCTGCTACATCGAAGTTGGCCGAGGTATGATTTCGTTTGCGCGTAGTGCGTAAGCAATTCACTTGGGATATATAGTATATAGGGATTCACGTTATATCGCAAGTAAATTGCTTATGCGACGCGCAAACGAAATCATACCTCGGCCAACTTCGATGTAGCAAATATAGGTTTTCACGTTAAATATCGAGTGCACTGCATATATGATGCTTCGGCAACTCACGAATCGCCAAAGCAAGTGAAATGCTAAATCTACGAGTGTGCCGACAAGTCCGCTGCTTCATTGAGCATAGTTTAATCACGATTTAGCAACGAAATTATTTACTTCAATTCATTTAGGTCCTCTATGTAATTTTCGCATCTTCCTTTCAAATCTTCCAATTTTGGTATCAACGATTTCTGGGTAGGTTGTCTGCAGGACAAGGAACGAATTGAAAACATCGTTCAATTATTTATTTTACAATCTACTCACCTTGAATGAAACTTGAAACGAGATGTTAAGCGACCGGCAGATATATAGAAATGGTTGAGTAATTCATCGAGTGAACATTCTTCATAATTAACGTCATTCGATGTTTGGTCTAGTGATGACGGTCCTTTCAGTGATGATCTAGCATTTTTAAAATATTCTTTGGCCTGTGCCAGCTTAGTCGCTATCATTTTACTAATAAAAGAGGAAGAAGATTAGATCGAGCTTTTTGAGTTTTTTCACCATAAAATACCTCGCAAACGCGAAATCTTCGATCACATAATTCAATTTATTAATCACTTTTTGGATATCTTCACTTGCCGGTCGTTCTAAACAAAATGAAAAGCAACGAATTTGCAATTCATCGTAGACTTTCTCGAATATGTGTTGTCTTGCGAGCGTTGGTGATTTCGCCGATTTTTTTCTGGGTATTTGGCATTCCGAACAATTCGCATCAGAAACTCTTTTGTTGCTTTTAAACCCACTTGATGAGCTGTTACTTGCACTCTCACTTTTATCACTCTCCATTTCTAAAAGAAGGCGAAAAAAATTCCAAAATAATATTCGCACAAATTTGTTGGCGTTGGTGCGTTGTAAATACAACATAAAAATGACGTTCATTTGACGACATCTGTAAAAGCATCATAGACATTGCTAGTGAAAATAAGTCGTGATATTTTAACGAATGTCACTGAACCAAATTTGAAATAATGGTGCGTTCACACCACACACTTGACTGCTATTCTGTGTGTTTAATTTTGAAAATCAAATTATATATTCGGAAATCGGCGAATTCCGAATGAAATCTTAATACATTTTTTTTTAAATATTTTACAGTTTATGCAATCAAATTAATGCTGGTTTTCATAATTGATGAAACAAAATCAGTGTTCGTTCAGTGGACGGTTAAATGTCTATGGAATGAATATGAGACGCCGTCGCAATGCATGACATTAGTCAATGCACGGTTCAATCTGTCAACGAATTCTAAATTGAAACATTTCAAATTTACTGAATGTGAAAGAAACAATATTCGTGCATTGCAAGACCAATATCAACCTTTTTTTCGGTATCTCTCATCAAACATCTCAAGCTGAATGCAATCAATTTATTCATACAAAACGGATTGATGCGAATGCAAAGGAAACCCAAGCATTTCCAATATGCAAACAACCGATTTAAATGGCATTTTCAAATAAGCTACAGAGTTGAATTGTTAAAATTGATTGTGCATGATCAAGATTCAGTTCACGTTAGAAAATAAATAAATAGTTCAGTGGTTTGATTCAATTTTAAACGTAGTGCTCGCAATTAATTTTGCAAACAACTGTGGACACTATTTATGAGATTATCATAAAGCCTCAAATAGAATGTGGCCTAAACTATTGGACTTAACGCAAGATGAATGTCGAGGTGCGCTTAGGCGTTTGGGTAAGTAAAATGTCAAAAACGAATCGACACATTGGGTATATGGATGACATTGGAATTGAAATTGTTGCTGTGTTTCATTGCAGAATTGGAGTCGTATTCGAATGTGGTGGGTGCATTTCGAGCGCAGGGAACATTAAATGCTGTAAAATTGAAAATTTTAAAAGATCTGCGAGAAGCATTTCATATATCTGATGCCCGGCACAAGGCCGAAGTTAGACGAGTTGTGAACGATGAATCTCTATCGACGATAGCAAAAATGTACGTTAATTGATGCTGCGGCAATTGTCACAAGTTAATTCATCTTATAATTTGGTTGCGTTGAGCATTTGCAGCTCATCAACTCATCACAACAACAATTATTCAAGCTTCAGCTTGCAACTCATCCATTTGGATTTTGAAAATGGTTTAGTAAAATCCAGATTGTATGTGTCTTTTTTTCAGGATTTATGGACCAAATAGTGAAATTGAATGGAACAAAGAAGGCAGTCGAGGTTTCTTGATAATAAATCGTAAGCCATCACAAACGGCATTGGCTTCGGTCGCTGATAAAGCTTATGAATTGGGCAAAACACTGAATAAAAATCTGAAACACCCGTCAGACACTTCGAGAGATCGTTTGCTTCAGGTGAACAAGAATGCGAATGCTACGGATAAAATCGTCGACACTGATCCAAGCAGCGTAAATATCCTTTATTTTCTTGACGATTCAGAAAGTCTGAAGGATTTCATTTTAGAAAAAAAAAAACGAAAATAATTTCATGAAATCTAAAACGTCATCAATTTTCGCATATTTTCAGAACCATCCGAAAGCAAAGAGTAAACCGGAAAAAGCGAGTGTAGCTGCGGTGCCGGTCAAAGCCGATGCAAATCGTGTGGAATTGAGTTCTTCAGCGACAAAAAAGCAGCGTGAATCAAATAAACATTGCGCTCCAACGGAGCAGCCGGCCTTAAAAATCCCCCCAACGAATGCAGTCGAGAGTAAGGCAATACAAACGCCGAAAGTGGAAAACGTACAAATGCCAATGCCAATGCCAAAGCCAATCACGGCAAACAGTCGTCGACGCAAAAGTACAACATCTTTGGCAAATCACAATGCACCAGCACCCAAAGCGATGCTGCTAACAAGCCGACGAGATACAATGATTGAAACGAGCCGGGAACGAATTCGAGAGACACCACATTCAATAGAACAACTACAACCACCACTGGCACCCAAACCCCAGCCAATAGTACAACAACAGCAAACGCCACCGCCACCGCCACCAAAACCGATCGTCAATGAAGTGCGTGTGATTCAAAAAGAAGTCGCTGCTGCGCCTCGAGAGGAAATCGTAAAAAGTGCACCGATTTATACGCAAAATGCTGTGCATCGAACGTTGTCCAATGACGGTGAGGTGCAAGTAATCGAGGCGATTGTTCCGCAAAAAGTGGAAACAATCAAAGGAACGCGTAACGTAATGAATGCGATAAGCCAGGGTGCGCAATTGGTGAAAGTAATTGATTCGAAAATAATGAAAAAACCGGTCACAATCTCGAATATGTATGCAAAACCGACTCAAACTCAGCCACTCAAAGTGGCTCAGCCAACAACAATAGCAAGCATCAAACAAACATTTGCACCCGTCAAATTGGCCAACGTCGAATATTTAACGGTAAATGATTGTGCGCGACCGCTATCAAAGCCAACCATTGGCAAAGTAGCGCATAAAATTCAGGTTATCACATCCGATGCACCGCAAATGATAAACAGTGTAAATGTCGTTCAAAGGACAACGAATCACGGCAACAAAAATAACGATTTCATTTCGATACCAACCGCCCGAAATCCAAACATTGTAAAAACAAGTGACAAAACGATAATGCATGTATCGCCGCATCTTCCACAACATCAATTCCATCATCATCACCAGCAACAATATCAACAGCCAAGACCCCAAATAAATAAAAAACCAACCACAATCATTGGCCAAACTATTCAAAACCATTTGAAATATCCACAACAAACGAAGCATGTCGTACAAATTGTACAACAACCACCACAATCGCAGCCCAGAACCCTCACCATTCATCCGAATTCGACAATTTTAAAAGGTAGACTTGAGTATTTTCTTCAACTCAACCTCTTTGCTCTTCTTCATTTCAATTTTTTGTTTTGTTTGATAAAAATCCGAAAATTAATTTTAAACAATTTTCCAAAATCTTTCAAAACAGCACTCCCAACTCAAGTTCAAGTATCGACGATAAATGAAATGCCAGCAGAATACGTGTACGAAGAGCAGGTGAATGATTGGCAAAACTATGATCCGACTATGACCAACCAAAATGGCTATGTAAAAATCGTTCGAAGCGCTCCACCAAACAATGGGCGTGACTATCAAAAGCATGCAAATATTACACCAAATATTATAACCGAGAATATAATTTATGACGAGGACATTATCACCGAGGAATACATCACGACGGACGAATTCACCGCCGATAATGTTATTGAAATGGATGGTTTTAGTTAGTAGTAATGTCATAAGTTCATAAGATTATATAACTAAAAAAAAAAAACAACACAAAAAGAAAAACAAATGCAAAAAGAATAAAAACGCAACTCTGTTTATTCTTTCCAAAATTGTACTTAATTACGTTTTTTTTTCTCTCTTTAATTGTATTTTTTTTTTTTTCAAATAAATTTATTTTTTTGTATATATATATTTAAATCCATACCGATTTTGCATGGCCCTTCCATTTTACAAAATGAAAAAAAAAAACTTTAACAATTTTCTTCTTTTTTTTTTTAAATTGACCAACGCTTAGGAACAATTGATATTTCTCAGAAACTATTTATAATTATTCAATGTGATTCTTGTTTAGAACATGTTCAATAGATTATTGCAATGATCGCCTTGAAAACAAAAATATGTACAAACAAACACGCTATTCCCAATCGGAATCATCGTCACTGCGATCCGTATTTGTTTCGGGCTTTGGTGGCGCTGGAATCATCGACGATATGCTATCCATTAGATTTGAACTTGGGGCCACAACTGCGGTAGCCGGAATGTTTGATTGCGCACCATTTTCTTTAGCGCCCGAAATGCCTTTGCGACGCATTGCTAATTTCTTATGAAGATCTGCCATTAGATCACCAGAAGGTGATGAGGCAGCTGCTGCTGCCGGTTTCTGTAGAGCGAAAAGATGGAAAATAAAAAAAAAATGGTAAAACAGAGCAAGTTGAAAAAAGAAGAAAATTATCCGATTTCCCACATGTTTATGTACGTACCGGTTTGTCTGCTTTCAATGCCGTTGCTCTGAGTTTGGCTTTGCCCAAGCCTCCAGCTTGTCGAATGGCTGACATCAGTGTGCTATGTGGGTTCTCTTCTTCGAATCTTGGCTTTGGTAATGGTTCACTTTTGACAACTTCGCGAGCACCATCTTTGCGGTTTGTGTCAGGCTGTGCCTGAGTGACCGCAGCGGGTGGTGCTGGTGGCGGAGGCGGCGGTGGTGGTGGAGGAGGTGGTGGTGGCGGTGCTGCAGCAGCAGCTGGTACGGCTACCGATGCAGTTTGACTAATACAAGTTTTCTCCATCGGTCGAGATTCTTCTCTTGCTTTTTCGATTGTCACCGTTTTAACTTCTTGCGTTTGATGCGTTGCTTTGTTACTTGTTTCTGGTTCATTTGAAGGCACCGGCGGTAGGTGTGGAACGTCGATTCTCATTGTCTGCGATGGCACAATGAGCAAATCATCAATGTTACTAATATTAAACTCAATATCACCAGCGATGCCCGGTAAGTCCGGCAGATATGTTGGCACATCTAATTCGGGTGCGTTTGTAATATTCGGAGTATAGAATAGGTTTTCGTTGATTTTTTTCACGCCCAAATTCCGATTGAGCACTGGCAATGGAATGTTATCGATTTTCGAGCCTGGTTTCTCTGGACTACGGATATCCGATAATTTTTGAGTTCGTGGTTTCGTTGGAGTGCTCATGCTGCTTCGGCCAAACATAATTTTCGGTTCATTGAATAACAATAGATTGCTTATCGATTCGGTGTAATATGGGAATGGTCTCGGTCCCGTTGGATATGGTTTGTTCATTGGATTTTGTTTTGGTGGCTTTTTTACATGATAAAACACCAACTTTTCATCGATTGATCGATCGGAAATCGTATCTGGTTTGCTGAGAATCGTGCAATCGGTGGTCATTTCGATCTTTTTTCGGTTCAACGGTGAAAATGTTGCTTCCACATCTTCGGCCACTGCTCCACCGGGATATTTTGATGGTGAAAATATTGTTATTGCCTTATTAATACCCACCAGGCTATCGATCTTATTCTTCACCGCTGCTGTTCGTTCATTGAGCAAACGAATTTTTGCATTGTTACGCTCGATACGAGCATCAACTTTATCAAAAACCTCATTCACTACATTGCTCAAGTATTCAAAACAATTAGCCGTCTGAACGATGGTTTCCTCATGTCGCAAATCCGGTTTTATTAAAAACAATTCGTATAAAAACATAACTAATTTATTGCGAGATTTTTCAATTGAACTTTCCACATCGAATCAAAAATCACACGGAGAGTATGAATTCAGTGTTTTGACATATCGCCAATTAAAAACAAATACCCAGTTCACTAATACATACATACACACAAATGCACGAAATGACACACGAGTTTTGACATTTCACCGATTTTCGATTCCGATGCACTGAACGCAAATTGTCTAAAGCCAATGGCGACAAAAATCGCATTGAATCAAGTGCTTTTCAGAGCTTTTGACTTTTAGATTGCATTTTTTTTTTTGACCGGCTATACCGTTATGGGACTCAATTATGAGGAAGAAAGTGAAGTTTTCGCTGGGCTGAAGGATTGAATAGAACGGAAAAGATATGAATAATAGAATAAAATAGAGCGAACTAGAGCAGACAATATGTGTGGTGGCAGCAAGTAGGAACCATAGAAACAGCATTTTGAATTTTCACAAAACCAAATTGAAACAATAGAAAGTGAACAAAAAAAATGAAACGAAATAAAAAGATGGCCAAAGAAAAACACAAACTATAATCTTATTTCTTTAGATTTATTTACAGAATCAAAGAACATTTCCATTGTGTGTTTGTTTGTTTTTATACATCGCATTTCACCGTATCAACGTGTGCATACTAATTACGTGTGCATACACTTAAACTAATTTCTATATATAGCTATTTTCTTTGTTGTTTATTTTTTTGCCATTGGTTTATTTCTATCATATATATCATCATCATCGTCATCATTATCATTGTATTCTTGACATTTTTCTATCTCTTCCGCCGTCTCTCTCTCTCTCCCTCTTCTGAAATTCTTTATCCATTTGAAGACATAACAAGGCAAAGCACTTAAATAAATTGTTCTATTTTGATCATTTGACATTAACATGTTTTTTTTGTGTATTTAAAATGGTGTGTATGCTCAACATCATTTCTAAAAATTGACTTAAATGTTTGCAAATTCGATAAACAACATTGTTTTTTTTTTTTTTTCAATAGGAATAATAATTTGTGTTTTTTTTTTGGATGATTTTTTTTAAATGTAAATTTTTTGTTTCTTTTTCCATTTTTTTTTCTTTGTGAGTTTAATAATTTGTGTGTGCATGTGGGTGTGTGTATCTAAAGATGATTGATAAAGTGATCGATCAGCCAAGAAGAAAAAAAACAACAATAAAGAAGTCGTGTATTTTTTTTTTCTTCTGCTTTCTTCCTTTCATACGATGCTTTCATGTTCGGGTGCTGGTGGCAGTTCGCCAAAGCCGCTATAGCCTTTGACACGGTTTTGAACGACGCCTGCTTTTCGCAACGACGCATCATTGAATCCGTTGCCATGGAATAAATTGACCAGCCACGATCGAATCGAGCCACGATTCATATTTTTCACGTTCTTTGATACGGATGTGTCGCTGTCGCTGCGATTGTGTTGGACCGTTTCCAATGAACGCCAGCGCTTGTGCTGTAATACATTTTCATCTTGAGGATTATTCAATGAGTTTTGTCGATAGAGTAACGGACAATGGGCATCTTCGCCAACCGACGTTGGCCCATTACAATTGTTTAGCCCTTTGTACGGGCTCTTTGATTTTTTTGTGAGTTTATTTGTGATTGTATCGGTTGTGTGTTCGGGTGCGCATATCATGCGATTGCTACCAATTTCAAAATTGCAACGTGTATTTCCTAAATTAAATGGTTCGGGCATTGGATCACGGCTTATCATTGAAACACCAGCATCCAATGAGCATGCACTGCGATCGTTGATCTTGGCAATGGGCAAACGTTTTGAGTCGACACGATTCCGTAGCTGATTACATGGTATCAAATCCAATGATTTACTTTCACGCAAACGTGCCGCCACATTATAGTTTAAATCCAACTGACTGAGAAACGAACGATATTCATCGTTTATTACGATGCGTCGCGGTCGAACCATTGCAAATGGTTTTTTCTGTACATAATCCAATTGTTGCAATTGATACTGATTGATTGATTCATCGTCGGGTTTGAAAAAGCAATCGGTGTTGGTCAGTGATTCGGTCTGAGTGATTCGAGAATTTTCGCTTAAATACAATGGTGTACGATTCAGATGTTTTCGTTGACTAGACTTCGGCGAATATTCTACTACCCGCTTTAGAGATCCCTGGAGGCTCGACGCACTTTCACTGTCATTCCGCGGCACATTCGATTGACGACGACTATTCGTACCGCAGTTTGCATTATTGTTGCCTGTTTGTGAAACGACGAAGAAACGATTTGGATTAATTTTTCTTCATTATTTCTTGATTTGATCGCTTTTCTTACCAAAATATTGGGCACCAACGTAGCTCGGTTGCCGTGAGTCACAATTCAATTTGGGGCTACGTCGTGGTCGACAGAAGAGCGGTGGTAAATCGCTCAAGTTAACTTCACGCCGTTTAATTGCCTTGTCATTTGCACCGGTCAGCCAATAGGTGGTCACTTTTCCTTTGCCTTTAAGTTCAATTTGGCCACGTTCTTCCGTTTCATAGCCACCCAATCGTTCTAGCATTTCTTTCACCTGCACCGAAATGTGTATTTTCAACGCTTCACCCGTTGACTCCATCCGGGATGCTGTATTCACTGTGTCGCCAAACAAGCAATACCTCGGCATTGTCAATCCAACCACACCAGCTACCACTGGCCCAGTATGCATTCCTGCATAAGAAACAAACAAAAATTAGTTAGTCATTGTTTACAATGCATTGATACATTGATACACTGTGGCCACATAAAAGCGCTTCAAGTGTTGAATCCAAATAAATCATAATCATATTTTGCATTCATACCAATTCGTAATTTTAGCATTTCATTTGGTCGATGTGATATTTTATGCTGAAGCACTGCACTTAAGAGATCCAAAGACATCGATGCAATTTCTCCGACGTGACGTATATCATTTTTGATTGGCAAACCAGAGACCTACACATCAAAAACAAAAATCACAGTAAATTTAACTTCGATTCAGCGACAGAACATGATCCGACCGAATTAATGCCGAACAAAGCACACATTCACACTTACCACCATGTAGGCGTCACCAATTGTTTCCACTTTGTACACATCATATCCTTTGATTATACCTATTCGAGAAAAAAAAAAGTTTTATCATTAAATATTTGCCTTAAAATGAGCGAGAATTATTTGACATACGATCAAACACGGTGTACAAATCATTGAGGAAGTTAACCACTTGTAGCGGTGAACTTTCGGCTGACATCGCTGTAAAACCGACTATATCACTAAAGTAAATGGTTACCTGTAAACAAGTTTTAAATTCAATCAGAATAAATTTGTAAATAAGCTTTAGCGAATAGCCGATCGGTTTCATTTGGAATTCATACTATTCATTCGATTTCTTAAAAACAATCGAGTATTTGTTGTGGTTGTTATTTGAACAATGCAATAAATTCGGCACCGATTGAAAACTTACCGAACTGTACGAAACCGGCTCAACACCATGACCTTTCGTTAAATTGGCCGCCACCGTTTTCGGTAACATTCGATGTAATAAGTCTTCTGTTTTCTTCTTTTCTTCGCACAATAGGCGCGTTCTCTCATTGACTATATCCTCCAAATTGTTTGCGTATTTTTCCATCATTTCCATCATTTGATCCATAATATTTTTGGACTTTCCGCCGCGCATCTTTTTCAAGCGACTCCTATTGGCATTTTCAGAATTGGATTAAAAAAACCAATTGAAAAAAGATCTTTTTGAAAAGAAAAAAAAAAAACAAGAAGAAAATCATCGAATTGTTTACCTAATCGTGGGAAAATCGGGTCTAACTTCTGGATTTTCATCCCAGCATTCTTTGATGCAATTAACAATGTAATCGGCACAATTGCCACAATCCTGAATGCATTCAATGTCCGGCCGAAATGGATCTTCGTTAAAACTTGGAACATGCTTCACCATTTCGATAATTTCTTTTGGTTCGTAGCCAACTTGGCCGAATGGTCCTTTTCTGCCGATCACTTCATACAAAATGATGGCAAATGCATATGTATCGGCCTTTTGTGATCCATACACGTTGGAATTGCGCAAAATTTCCGGTGCTTTCCAAAATTGATTGCGATAGTATTGATGTTCGCCGATCGATTCATTTTCAGCACAGTGACGTAGATCGTGCAAACCAAAGTCGGTGACTTGGAGCAGCCAACGTGATGTCACAACACAGTTGGACGATTTTAAATTACCATGGAAATTAAGGGCCGAATCGTGTATGTAAATCATTCCCTGTGTTTGTATTGAATAAAACGTAAAAAAATAAAACCCAAATCAAAATCGACCATGCAAACGAAATTCAAATCGAATGAATGAAACATATGCGTGTGTACGTATGACAATGACACTTGACCGATGCCGAATTGGTTTACATAAACGAATGAGAAAGTGAAAGAATGAAAGGCGGCGGCAGCCGATCAAGTGCCAAAAAATGCAACGCGCCCCTTCTTACCTTGATTAAATCGTGTATCAGTGACGCTATGAATAAGTCATCTAATTTTATATCTTCGTTTTCGATAATATCGTATAGACTGCCCTTGGCACAATAATCGGTGACTAGTAGTATTCTCATTGGTTCAACGCACGCGCCAATAAAACTATTTATATTATCGTGACGCAGATCGCGCAGCAAACGCATTTCTTTCATTATATCACGTGAAATGTCCCGTTTGCGTGCAAATTTTAACTCCTTGATGCGTACAACAACACCGCGAAATTTACCAGTTGTTGTAAATACTTGATTCGAGCATCGTGATCCAAACGATGCAGCACTGACTAGACTTAGCTTACTCGGTGACGAAACAATATCATTGTTGAAATAGCCCTTGATTTCGGATGAATCGATTTTCCACAGTAAACCCTCGATCTCCAATTCAATCTTCCACTTGCGATAAATGCTCAACATCACCACTGTTGGTGGTTGTTATGAAAGGTGAAGAAGGAAATGGATTGAAAATAGAAAAAAGGGATGAATTAGTGAAATTTAAAAAAAATTCAGATAATTTCTCGCAAATTGTGAATCGCTATCAACTCACCAGTGCTGCAAAATAGCATGAGAGCGAGCGCGCCGGCAATGACCATTGACGTAATGTGTGTATCATCCTTTGGGCATAGTTCATTGTTGAAACCACAAATTGGCTCATCAATTGGTTTTTCACTGCCTGGCCAATCGATACGCCATGATGCGTTTATTAGTCGGTATTCCTGTTATTTGAGAAAATATTTGATTTATTCAGCTTTTTACGGTGAATGCTGTCCAAAAGGAAATTTTGTCGATTTATTGGAGTGAATTCAGCAGAGCTTTTTTTTTCTTTCTTTGCACAAAGCACATTAATTTTCTTTCCATGGTTTTCTTCCCCACCAGATCCATCTCACCATAGCTACCATGCATTTTAGGTTGACAACAACAAAAAAAAAAAAACAACAACAAAGACGACTCACTCACTGGAAAATCTTCTCCTTGTTGAAAGTATGCCACTGGAACCATATGTAAGTCGCAGGAAAAGTTCTCACGCGCCATTTTATGTGGTTTAAGCGCCACAACGGAGAAATTACCTTCTGAATCGCCATTATGATCAATTTTTATGGTCGAACCAGTCACACCTGAAAACGAAGTAACACAATATTTTACTGACGCCTTTTACACCATATCGTAAAATACATTTGCCAGTTTCCAACAGTAAATTCCCTGTTATTTATTGTTTTTTATCGACAAAAGCGAATAGAAACGATTTCATTTGTTCGTTTTTATCTTCAATAAACACTTGATTTCTTGATAAAACTTGGACATTTGTGAAAAAGCTATTTTTGGATTTGAATTTCGTTTTATACGATACGATTTAGATCTATTTTCAACGCAAACTAATTTTAATGACTAATTAAAACGCAACTTGGAAATTCCGAACAAAAATAAAACACTCACTTTTGTACGTGCGATTCTTGATGATCGTTTCAATGATTCGAGTACCATTTTCGGCCACTTCTTGTATCAATTTGTCGGTTAGAGGCCGCTCTTCTTGCTCTTGCTTCAGCAACTTATCCAATGCCCATGCATACAATTTCACCGAATCATACAAATATGCGGCATAAATCGATACAAACTGCAACACAATTTAAATCAGAACATTTATTTGCATGGTTTTGTAAAGCCAACATATAGATTTTACTTAGAAGAAGCTTTATATTGTTGATTTTTGATTTAATAACTTCTGCTTACTAAGATTTATCTGGTAAAAAAAGCATCTCTTAAAGCTATTCTTTGATTTTCAACAAACTTTTGAAAAGAAAAAAAAAACTATAGGAAATTTCATCGAAACGAACAGTTTTTCATCGACAAAGAGATGAAACCATCAAATGATGGATTCTCTTCCATAAAGATTATTCTTCAAGTACAATGGTTTGCTTTGCTGAAAGTTCCATTCTGAAACAATAATTGGATGGTCCAAATATTCGTCGATATTCCATCCAATCGAATGAAATTGAAATTTTTAAATTCCATTCGAATGAATGAGTTGCATTCATGTCATTCCATGCCATTTCATTTGAACGCAATCGATAATTAATGCTAAAAGAGACTGAATCGCATAGAAACCCATTTGATACCTTGGTATAATTGTTGAATAAAACGGGTAGCGTAAAGTTGAATGGTGCTTTGGTGTTGTATTCTCGTACTTTTTCGGTGAACTTTTCATAGTTTTCGGTCGGTGGCGTTGCAACGACGACCAATAAGCTGCGTCCGCGTTTTGCAAAGTTGTCAATTTCATTGCATCTTTGCAGTTTCGTTAATTGATCCGGTTTGAATAGGTATCGATGTGCTTCTCTGTACGTGTGTTGAGTGAACGAGCGAGCGAGCGAACGAGAGGTCCGTGAGTGTGTGTAATTGTGATGAATTGAAAAGAAAACGAATGAAATCACCAAAGATATTAATTAAATGTATCAGCAATGTCAAACTTGGGAATTTGATTGGCAGACATTGAATTTACATTATAAATAAGAACAAGAAAAAAGCAACAGGGAAAAAATAACTTGTGAACGATCGAGCGAGAGCAAATAAAACGAAATATCAAAATTGATTTGGAAAACCGTGCTATAGGAGAGTTTGGGAAATGCGTTTTTTTTTTAAATAATTTACGATATCAATCAAATTAACTGCCCAAAAATTAAAGCTTGAGTTCTCCGTTAACAAAAACAATGGAAATTACGAGGCTTAAAAAGGAACAGATCAAAGAGGTAAAATAAAAGTCTACGTAAGCAAAGAAAAAAAAAATAACGATAAAAGTTCAATTAAATGCTATTTAAAATGTATTATTACAAGTACCTTGGTGAATAGGTCATCATATCAACAAAAATTACCATATATTCACCTTTCGAGAATAATTGCATTGTGTCCATAGATACCATCATGTCGTTAAGTGCGGTTGCTGTGCCAAGAAACACATAGATTCGAGTTCCGTTTTTTGTGTTTTGTATGAGCTAAATTCGAACAGAAACGCAATGTAATGTAAACAAAACAAAAAGGGAAAGAGACGAATCGAAACAGAGAGAATGAGAAAAAGAGAGAAAGAGAGAAAGAAAAGAGAAAAACGAAACAAAAAGAAAGCAAAATTGTTAAATAGAAAACTTGTCACATTTTCAATTAATTTGTTGATAAATTATTTCTTTCGATATGATCTCTTAATTCGTATGAATGTGTTTTATAGTTTTGAATTTTAATGGGCCACAAAACGAGTTTGTGTTCTCCTCGTGTGCCGTTGACATATTCTTCCGAGCACATCACCTCTGCGGCTACTTTTCTTTTGTTATTGTTGTTGTTGCGGTTTCGAGTATAGTGTGCGAGGAGATTATTGTAATGGTTTTTTGTTTTTTTTTTAATTTTGTTATCATTGTGATTAATCTACGATGTGTGACACACTAACCTGATGCCAGTAGCTGCTACGGCAGCATGCCAGATTATTTTCACAGCATTTATGATTGTCGATCACTTTCTCGCAGTGATTAATTGTCATATTTTTTGACTTTGCTTGCTCTTTCAACGAATTCGCCACCGTTGTCCATACTTCTTCGTGAATTATTGAAAATTTCTTCCAACCATAGTAATGAAGTAGGGATATCACCGATTTGGTTACCTACACAGGAAAACACAAATGTTACAAGAAACAATTATGCCTAATCAAAATTTTAAGTCTCTGACATTTTCCGAAAATTTTACTAACGTTACAAGAAAGAAATCTCTTGTATTTGCCTATATTGGCCAGTTCATCGGGTTTTTCGACTGGATTTTTCAATTTTTAGACAATATTTCTTGATTTTTGGAAAGAAAAATTGACTACTTTTAGATTTTATTGTAATATTTCAACCATTTTTTGACCATAAACCCATTGAAAAAATCTAAATATCATCAACCATTCAACGAAAAGATCACTTTTGAATTATTTACCTGAGTATCTGGAGGTTCTGTGCGTGCAAATGTTGGTATAGAGGATGCCTTGTAATCTGAACATTTCTGTAATTTATATCAATTGCTCAATCAGTTTGCATGTTTTCATTTTGAAACAACGCATATTCATGCATCAACGTGGGAAACCAAATGAAACAAACCAAAACATGATCGTAACTACTTGTGATTCATATTTTGTTGTTCGTTTTGTTTTAATCAACTCAAACATGATGAATAATAATGATTTGCAGGATTAATTTAAAATTTCGGGGAATTTCTTCTAAAAAAGTTTCAGAGAATTAGCGCAAGTTATCAGAAGGCATAAAAACAATTCTGATAAAAAGGCATAATAAAATTTACGATTTTTTAACGATTTTTCGGAATTCGGAATGGAAGTTTAAAATCGATGTTTCAATTTTCGTTCATCACATTCCGAAATATCGAAAAAGAAATCGTGCATTCAGTATTGCTGCTAAAGATGCCTTTGTCATTTTTTTTTTTGCTCTAAAACCAAATGGATTTGTGTACGTACATAGGATATCATAGGGATGTTTCGACTCTGTGAAACGATGGCTTCGACGTGACAAGCGCCCTCTGGTCCAAAAATTGTTGCAACACCATCACAGATCATTTCAGTTATGGCACGTGTAGCTAATACGGTGTCACCGCGTGTATCATTCCAGCGGAGAGATAGCGTTACATTTGGTAATAAAGATCGATCATTGTTTACCTGAATAGCAATGGTAATTTCAAGAGAGAGAAAAAATGTTATCCTCCAAAAAAAAAGGTTGACAAATAGAAAAATCAAAGAAGAAATGGTAAAGAAACGGAAAAACGTTCAAATTAAATTCTGCGCAACTCTTGAAAGATCGATTGTTTGAAAAGAATGCAAACTGCATTGAATTGCGTTGAATTCCATTTGGACTTTTGGTTGATAATACATATTAGTATAGAAAATTGAATAAAGACGATCAAAAGTTTAAAAATAACGGAAAGAAAAAGCTTGCACACACCTCATCTAGAGCCATTTTGAGTGCACCAGAAATGGCAAGGCCTTGTTTGTCTTTGAGTTCACCTTTGATAGCCGTTAGATATCCGACGGTAAGCACAGTTTTTTTGTAGTTGTTGTTGGATTGGGGCGAATGATTTCGTGCCCCGTGCGATGGATGAATGAAAAAAACTGTGATTACGATCCCTATCAATACTAGCAAAAGTAGCTTGAAGCGCCAACGCGTCATGACCCCTTAGAATGGGGCCGTTCGGCGCGTTTCCTCACGTTATAAATAACCTGTAAAAACTTATACCAATCAATTTGACCAGATGTTATTGTTGTTGGGAAATGCTGAGAACGAGGGCAAGCCGCTGAAGAAAGCTTACTTACCATGTGTTAAAACGAGTCGTTTCTTTGATTTTGGAGGCGCATGACCATCCGCCAATGTGGCAAAGTCACTTCTTCAACTGCATTTTTGAGTGTGATAAAAAAAAACAAACCAATCGCTGGATATTGAAGAAAACGAAACGAATTCCAATGTTGAATGTTTGACACGGGGAAACTCGTCGTCAACTACTCGTTTTCACATTCACTTCGCAGAGAGCTTATCGAATAAGTCTGGGATCGAACCACTAAAGGAAGGAATAGAAGAAGAAAAAAATCGTATATCCTTTGAACTTTTGTGATTAGTATCGCATTATGTTTAACGATATTGACGAATGGTTCGACGTCCCAAAGTAATTTCGCATCGAAAGAAATACACACACACACACACACAAAGCGAAATAAAAGAAACAAAAAATTACCATATCTTGCCTAGCACACACACAGCGTCGTCAATCGTTTCGATAGTGGACGCGCGCGCGCTCGCATGCTTGTTCAAATTCACGAGCAATCACACGTTCTGTCCACGAAAGCAGGCGGTAATACAGTAATGAGTAATGTCGCGAATTAAAATAATTAAAATAATTAGATAAATAGACGGAATTGAGCTTAGGGACTAAACGCGATTGGAATATGACTCGCTCTAATTATAAGATAGCCTCGTTACAATTTTGCTTCATGTTCTTTCTCGTGTTTTTTTTTCCTTCTTGTTTTTTTTTTTGCAAGCTTGAGCGCCAGCACTCATTCTTTAGATTCAATCGCTCGCTCACTCGCTTAAATGCACTCGCTTCGTGTATGTTTTTGTTTCTGCATGTTCCGTTCAATGTAATTGAACATTATTCCCTGACATTTTTGCTACTATCCTGCGGCAGCTATCTCATTCTCACACATAACATGCCCTCCATCCACATATCAATAGAATATTGACACAAAACCCATGTAACATTGTCGAAAGCATTTGTCGAGCGGACAAGAGAGAGGGAGGGATGGAGGTTGGGGGAGAGAGAGAGAGAACCGAACCGAACATTGTTTACATTTCGTTTTCTTTGTCGATTGTTTCTTTTTTCTTTCTTTTCGTTTCGTTTTGTTTTGTCTTTTTCGCTTTATTTTTTTTCTTTTTGCTCCGTTCTCGTGCTCTATTATTCCCCATAGACTGACTGAGTCACACATATACACAATGTGGCAGAATGTTTTGTAATACAATAGCATTTGTTGTTTGTGGACAACAAATTTGGGTGCGTCAAAACAAATGTAAATTTATGAAATCAGACGAATAGAGCGAATATGTTTCCGTCATCATCGTTCGTTCGTTCGTTTTTTTTTCTTCTGCTACGCAGTTTTACCCGTATGCGGTGCACATGGATCGCAAATCAAAAAGAGTAAAATATATGTGCAATGCATCAATTTTGACAGTGATCCAGTTAAAATTGCATGTTTCCATGGTTGTTTTGTTCGTGTTTCTCTTGCTCGCTCTCTCTCCTTCTCTGCTAACGTCAACATCGTAATTCGATCCACATGCCAAAATATAACAGCAGCGTACACAAGTCGTAATTCAATTCATCTAGATAATCGTTTCCTTTTAATCGTTGCACAAATATGCAGACATCCTCTCGTACAGTTTTTTTTTTTTTTGCCAGTATCTATCTCAATTTTTATTTTTTCGTTGAACATTTTCACAGAGCCACAACCACTTCCTTACACATTCATCGTCATTATAAATTTAAGCGAGAAAAGAAATGACATTGAAATTTATCTTTGTACGAAGTGAGATAGCGTTAAACGGTTGTTACGTGTGAAACAGAACGCCGGTTTCGAAGAAAAAAGAGAAATAATTAACTTTGATGTTGGAAATGGCAATCAATCGAAATGGATCATCGAAACACACAATCAATGGTTAGCTGGAAAGAAGAAAAAGTGTAGTACATAAAGTGTACCATCTCTGTAAAAAAAAAAACCGTCTGATTACGCAGGAACTAGTTGTTTTTGCTAGATTTTTCGTGTTGTCGCAACTTGCATCGCATTGCATGGAAAAAAGCGTCATTCGTAAAAATGTTATTTTATGAACTGCAGCAGCAGAAGGAGGAGGATGTGGTGGTGGCAGCAAAAAGACAAGCACAGTCCATCCATTTTATCGTGCACTTTGGTTTTCCACCACCGATTCAATGTCGTTCCATTCGCTGCGTTGTGCAAAAGTTCGATAGCATTTAAAGAGCGTTTATCGTTTATGCTTTGTTATCGGATGGAGAGTGAAAATATACAGTTCCATGAGAGAGCGTTATGCATTTTCTGTGTTTGCTGATAATGTTTTACTAATGATATGTGGCTATTGACGCGCTATATCAATCTTCAATGTAGCACATATATACACACCGCCTTAATCGAATATGCAATGCTTTCGGCACACATCCAAGAACAACTCCATTTGTTGTGTCAGCAGTGGGAACACACTGTGACAAAATGAAAACGAAACGAAATTGTGTGCTACAACAAAGTGAACGCTACGTATTCAATTCAGAATTTTCGATCATTTTTCTACACAGCCGAGGTTCATCACCGTATGTACCTGGCCGATGGCTAATTTTCTCTTCAGCCTAGTAAAGTATTATCATCAATCAAAACGATACATCGCCTCAGACGATCGACCACCATAGGCACATCTTTTGTGCATACACCTTTTGCTTCGTTCACTTCTTTTTCTTGTACAGAATTTTTTTAAATCTTGTGAGAAAATGTCGGGATTCTCCCAAAATCAAGATATTCATTCAAATGGATTGTAACCCATTGAATGTCTATCGCCGAAGCATTTCAATCGGCGGTATTTGTGCCTGACGACGATTCATACGGAAAAAATGTCGTGTGATCTGCGCTCTTCTTTTTCAATAGTCATTGCTGTCGTCGTCGTCTTTGTTGCTTCTTTTTTTTCGATGAAATTTGCATCATTTGACTATCAATGCAGTCTATACACAGCACATACGAACACATTATTGCCCCGAATGACGCGATGGAGTGAACAAAAACGGAACGTCAGCAAAGAGCAAGCGAGCGTGCATATTACACAGGAAAGTAAGCAGCAACACGAAGAAGAGTTGCTTGAGGTTGCGTGTGTTTTGTTTGCTTAAGCAAAATGTTGTATTTGTACTCAACAATTGACGAACGATGAATATATCACTCTATCTCTTTCTCTCTCTTTCTAACTATTCATTGGAGTGACGGGGAGAGAGAGAGAGAGAGAGAGAGAGAAAGCATGGCGAATGAAGTATAAAAGGAAAAAGTTGCCGTGTGCACTTGATTAGTAAGCTCAGAAGCGACCGCTTTTAAAATGCTGATAAAAAGACATCATCTTTTGAAGAAATGGAAGAAGAAAAAGCGTTTGAATCACGAGCACTTTATGACAAACTTGAAATTTGTCGTATGAAACGATAGCAAAGAGACGAAATGTGAGAGAAAATGGCCATTCATGTGTTGTGCATATATAAAAATGGGGAAGTAGTTCAAAAACATGCACACAAAAAAACACCAAATCGCCGATAATTCAATGGCAAACAAAATTAGTTCAGAATAGAGAATGGAAAAAATGACAATATTAGAAGAAAATCGCTCGAATAAAATGGCAAATGGAAAAATTAATGACGAAATTAGTTCAAAATGACGCAAGTGAAATGTCGAAAAAATGTGGAGAGAGCGAGAGGAGAGAGAGAAGAGAGAGAGAGACTGTATCGAAAATGAGCGGAAAAAGCGAATCATGATTCGGTTTGCATGGCTCTGATGAATGGTTGGATGCGTGCAAGGGTGCAAATGCATCTATGCAGCGACAATCAAGTCAAGCTACAAGCATGTAACAAAAGATAGATAAAAAAAAACGAAATAAAAAAGCAATTTATCTAAATGCTTGTCCAAAAGATGAATGTAACGACAGCAACGATGACGACCAGCTAACGCTGTTCACCGTAAAATGTTTGTGCATACAGACAATGAGAAAACGCATCAAGTAAACGAACCAGGCGATAAAATATGAAGTCTTAATCACACTGGTTATGCATTCACTTTGATAAAACATAATTTGGTGCGTGTGCACTGTGCAATGTGCATGCTATTTTTTTTGAATGTAAACACTTTTTGTACATGATGAAAATCAAGTTGAAGTTCAGCTTTTCATGCTTTTTTTAACATATCATGCCGCTATACATTCTATTCTCGAGCTACGAGAGATTTTGCACAACAACGCCATTTGCCGTTGATGTTTCGCGTTGTACTTTGGTCAGGTTCAAAGAGTAAGGCAGAAGAGCGGGAGGGAGGTAGAGAGAAAGGAAGAAAGAATTGAGATATTTTCACTCTTGATTGAATTGGTTTTAGCCAATAACTTAATTACTTCGAGGAAATGTTTGCTATTTGGTTTTACCCAATGTGTACATACAAAGGCAAAACAAACATCTTTTATTTTCTAAAAAAAAACTGAACGAAAAAAAAGCAATTGTGTTCTTCGTGAATTTTTTTTCGTTCATCTAATCAAATTGTTTCTTGAAAGTGAGAGCAATTGTCGTCTTTATCACACACACATACAATGTCCTATAATTTTTCTGTAGACTTTGTCGATGTTTTATATGCTTTTGAATAAATTGTTTACCCGATTGCGTTTCGATTTTTGATGCCATTGTCATGGAGTGCGAGTTTTTGTATTCGTTGGTTTTTTTTTTATCTATAATCTAAGTATATCGTTTATATTTTCGTTTTGGAGTATAATTTTAGTGCGTCTCTTGATAGACATTGTCAAGACACTCGACACACAAAGATCACAGAGAAAAAAGCGCGCGCGCGCACTCGCGCACTCGCACATGCTCACACCGCACAAAAATCTACAATGTTCAATGCTGTTGCTTTGTGTGTTGCCCAAGAGCAGAGATCTCTTTGCATACATAATTATTTCAGAATATTTATAGCTCTTAATTTACAGTGTTGTATTTGTGTGTTTCAGTGCTTCATATTCAGTGTATGCTTTTTTTTTCTCTTCGATTTCATTCAATGTGGTTGTGTTTGTGTGTGTGTTTTTTTCGTGTTATTCATCGCGTCGTGTTACTGTTCAGTCATCGCTAGAGAGTCAATCGTTGATAATATTGTTGGCGTTGTTGTTTTTGTTGTTGTTATTTCTTCTTTTATTTATATAATTTGAGCTATTTATAAACCTCTTTTATAGGTAATGTATTCAGAGGCGTACATTACAACGTCACATAGTAAGTAGATTTTTTGTATTGTGCTGATATTTAAATGTACTTTTCCGACAAATATATTTATACACACACAATCCGAGCGAGTGTGGAGGAACAGGGTGTATGATTGACGGGCTTTTTCGATATATGGCCAGTGCTCTACTGGTCTCTATCTCTTTGAGGCTTCAATGTGCAAGCCATTCCGGTGGCAATGACTGCTATTGGCGATACAGTTGTCATCGTCGTCGTCGTCGTCGTCGTCGTCGTTGTGAACCACCCTGTACCACATTGGGTACATTGAATCTTTGCGTAGTAAATGGTTTGTGGTACGTGATGTGTGTGTGTGTGCAATTACTGCATGATCGCGTTCTTATTTTATTTATTATTATTATTCATTTCCAATATCTATTTTTCTTTCGTATTCTCTCTCTCTCTCCCTCGTCCCAGTTGATATTGTTGCCGTCATCGGCAGCAGCAGTTGGATATTATTTGGCGAATATGAAACCTTAAACACACCCGATTTGTTTGCCGATCATGCTTTTATTAAAATTGGTGTGTGAGCGCGTGCGTGCGCGCGCTTCCACGGTACACACTCAGCGTGCGTCAAAGGAAGAAAAATGAAAATGAAGAAGAACGAACGAACCCAATGGAAGAAAAAGAAGAGAGTGTATGATTTTCGAAACGAACGCGTTGTGTTTGCACTCGATCTGTTATATTTGATTGCGATTTCGGCTCAATGTGGCGATATCATTTCAAGTGTTCATGAGTCGGCCACTCGCTCATTCTCGCCCATAAGCGCCTCAATCAACACATCCGTAATCGATTCAGGTGGATTTATTCTGGTAGATGTATGTATTGTGTGTTGCCGTTTTCTCTTTTCCCCCCTTGACTTGGCTTATCCACCATATTCCGTCGCCGCCGCCGTCATCGTCGTCGTTTGATCAACGCTTTTTGATTCGAACTTGATAAAACCGAAAGCAAACAAATAGCGACACAAAAATATCAGCAATTAGCACGCGTACAAATACACCCATCTCTTTTGTTCGCTTCCATACGTTTGCCGTGTGCAAATATAAATTCAATCGAAGATCGAATAAACAAACAGCCCAACATATGCGACAATATTCTCGGTGTACGTTCTTTCGCCATATGCGTTCTTTCTCACTCTTTCTCACCCTTTGAGTGTATCTTTCCCTCTTTCTCACATCAAGCAAACTGGAAGAAAAATCTATCGAACGAAATTAAAGACGGAAGGAAAAAAACCGCTCACGGAATCCCTTTTCAATTCAATCCCGGCTCGTTTCAATATGAATGGAAATACCTTCGGCGGTTAAATTCTATAATTGTGTGTTAGAATCTTATTTGTAAACGTGCTTCTCTTCCTCTATGTCTCCCACTCTGTCACTAATCACTATCGCTCAAGAGCGCACGTATGAAAAGTCATCTAATCGCACGCGAAGGCGTCTGCATGCGTCAAATTGAAATCAAATATGACACATTTATTAGCGAATAGCATGTTTTTTTTCCTCTCGTTCTCTTATTCCCTGGCTGTGTGTGTGTGTGTGTTTTATACATATTGCAAACTCGATTAATTTTTCCAGCCAAATTTACAACAACAAAAAACACCAGGCACACAAACATTCCGCGCTCGCGACAACGGCAAACGTGAGATTTTAGAGCAGGCGAGTGAGTGAGAGAAAAGAGGCTGAATATGTGTGTATGGTATGGCAAAAGCGCACGAAAAACCTTTTTTTTCGGATTATTTACTATATATTATTTTTGTTACACGCTATCTCTGAATGTCGTCTCACTTTAAAAGTAACAAACGACGGAGACGATGACTGCTTGTTGCTGTTCGCGGTTACCCAGGATGTTTGTGTATACGTTATCACTTGCTCTTGGATGTGTTTTTTTTTTTAGCTTTGCGCATTTTTCTAATGACATATCTATGGGTGAGATTGAGAGTGGAGTATGTTTTTTCTTCGATTTTTATTTTTGAAAAGGCGAGTATGTTTTCTGATGATTCTGTTGGCGTTAAAGTAGAGTATGTTGTAGTACCGTCTAGCCTCCGCGGTCTTCATGGTTTTCACGCAACTGATAAAAGATAACAACATGGTGTCTTCGGCAAAGTTGTAGTACTTGAGGTCTTCTATAACTAAGCTGAAGACAAATATCTCTTATCCCTTATCAGTTGCGCGCAAATTGCGCACATAAAAAATCAAATTTTATATAGAACTTTTTTTTTCTTATCATTTTTCGCGCTTTTCGCGGAACTGATAAGAGATAAGAGATAACTGTCTTCAGCGATGTTATAGAAAACCTCGAGTGCTACAACTTTGCCGAAGACACCAAGTTGTTATCTCTTATCAGTTCCGCGGAAACCGTGAAAAACCGCGAGGACCCGCTAAAAACGAACATACTCGCTTTTAACCATTTTTAAGTCGACAGAAACTTGCTCTTCTCTTTCGTAACATAGTCAATCAAACATACACTACTCTCAATCTCACCCATAGATATCTTCTTCGTTTTATTTTTTGCTTTAGCTAAACGCGACATTTATTCGCTCAACGTAATGAAATTGAATCGTAATTTTTTTTTTCTATTTTGTCTCTATTCAACAAATGAAAAAACACCTGATTGACTTTTGAAAATAAAAATTCCACCGTGATGGTGGTGGTGGTGTTGGGTGGGTGGTCGATCGGTCATAATTTATTCAACGAATGAAAAAAAATGTGAACGAGACAGAGAAACTCAGTCAGGTGTATTTATATTCAATGATAATTGATTGTTGAATGTGCAACAACAATCGATTAAATACACACAGTCAACGAAATTTGATTAAAATCAGAAGTGCAAAGATTATGCCCCCATCAAACATTTCCACGGAAATTCCATTTATATACCAAGTGCAAGTATATCGATTTTGAAGCCCATTAACACCAATGCTCCGCTCGTCACTTGATCATTATTATTATTATCGTTGTCATTGTTGTTGTTGCTGTGGTTTTAAATCGACTTTATAAATTTTAACCGAAACACATAACAGCCAGGCCACCACACATTAAATAGCGTTACTCATCTTTCCAATTATAGATCACATGTAGATAATAATAAAAATACTTGCGTTTGGAGGCAAATACACACAGAAAAACCGTACTCTGTCTCTCTCTCTCTCGTTCTCTTTAGGGATCGCTTTGAATTTATGTTAATAGTGCGGGTTCGGGACAGCCTGAACTCTCTGTCAATCACTCTCTTTTTTCCCCCTCTCTCTCTCTCTCTCTCTCTCTTGCTCTCTTACTCTCTCACAATAACCAAACACACATAGTGTTCTATTGTTTTTGATTGATGCGAACGCAACCATATACCACATAGATATGCCGTCATGGGCTCTAATTGAATCGTTGCGAGAAAACAACAAGACGAAAAAAAAAATCTTTATGTATCATAAACAATAATCGATCCTAATTAACTTGATGATCTGACACACAGACAGGCCAGGCCGAGAGTCAGTTTAGCATTCTAAATTGAATTGATACATATCAAACGATCTAATAATAATACGCGATCAGTTTGAAGAAACCACCAAACAAATTTAACAAAATAATGGAGAAAAAAACAAACAAACAAACAAGAAATTGAATGAAAACCTCAAACTATGACAACATCCAGTCAATGTGTGTGCGTTTGGGAATTGAATTTCTATTAATGTTTCTAATTAAATGGAAATAGATTGCTGTCTTAACACATTTATCAATTTTTGAAGCGATTTCTACTGTAATTTGTGTGTGTGTGTATATATTTACATTGTGGATCAAATCTAATATTGGCGTCAAGACAATGTGCGCGCGAATCATGCATCTAAATTTGATTGAACACAAACAATAAAATTTATTTTTGATTTATACCTGTTTTTCTTCTTGGTCGTGTGTGTGTGTGTTTGCGTGTGACTTTGGTGGTGTTTCTGGCTGCGTTTCTCGAAATGCTAAAACCACTTTAAACACTTGGAAATCATCGTTCAGTATGTAGATCACGCCCGTTGATAATGTCTATATATCAGTCTTTTGCGCCGTGTGCTCTGTTTTCTCTCTCTCTCTTTCTCTGTAGCTTCTTTTTCTTCTTCTTTTTACTGTTTCACCGTATTCACTTCGTATATTTAACTGGGTCTATAATTTTGTTCTTTTTCTTCTCTTTTTCGTCTGAATTCGATTGAATATTTCAGAACGGTGTTTGTTTTTTTTTTTGCACTTTTTTTCTTGATTTTTTTTACGGTGGTAATGGTCCAATGGCACTATTTGTTTTCTCTTCTTCCAATTATTGTTTGTTACTATGGTTGTATTTTACGTTAATGACAGTCTGCTGCTTGTTTTACACGAGTTTATTTTCAATTTCATTTGTCATATGTCAATTCTCTTTCCTTCTCTAACTCTCTCTTTCACTTGCCCAAATAACCGTCACGTTCAAATGAAGTCGTCGATCGAAAACGAGCGCAGATCGGTGCTATTGTCTCTCTGTTCTCTTTACGTACGGCTGGTGTACACAAGCTCACTCGAAAAATGAGTGATATCACATTCTTTTAACACGGAATTTAATTTTTATGCACACATTTCACTTGCGTTGAGAATACGCAACCGATTGAGTCTACTCTCTATAGAATATTATATCATCGGTGGTTGGGTCTTACTCTTTCGTTCGAAACGGATCGAAGACGCTGACACGCATAAATGTATACATTCAATTTCGTTCTCTCTCTCTCTCCCTTTGCTTCTCCGCCTCACTCGTTCACTGCAAAAATCGTAAGAACAATGGATAAAATTCATTAATTGAAATGTGTTGTGATTTACAGCCATATACCAAAAGACAGTCGTTTCCACGAAACAATTTTTCAAGTTCCGTCTAGCAACGGGTCATTGACAAGTGACGAGAGAAAAAATAAAGTTACAAAAAAGACATACACTCGACTAAAATACGCTAATGCGGCACAAAACTCATTCACACTATTCAACTCAACTACGCCAAGCTGTACAGCTCTCTATCTTGGACACACAAAGTATTACAACAAAACTGACTTGATCTCTAATGGGAAGGATCATAAAAATGAATGTGCATTTGCTTTAATTTCATTCAATGACAGATGGCTGAGGATATATGCTAAGCATAGGAACTCAGCAAGCTGAGGTTGGTACATTTAGATTTTGTAACTTCCCTGCCATGCAAATTTATGTGATAAGATGAATTTATGACAGAAAATTTCATGGAAAGCATCGAAAAATGTGTACCAGATTCATCTGACATCACATGAATTTGCATGGCAGGGAAGTCACAAAATCTAAATGTACCAATCTCAGCTTGCTGAGTTCCTATGCTCAGCATATATCCTCAGCTATCTGTCATTGACTGTTTAATTTAAACGATTTTGGGTAAAGACTACTCGCGACGGCCGATGAGTTGAGTTTTGAAGAGAGAAAAAAAAAACAACGAAACACAAAACAACACAAACAGAAGATGAATATAATGGGCTTCAATCGAAATTGAGCTCTTCTCACTCTAATGCGATACACATTTGCAATATGCGCAAACAATGTCTCAGCTCATACAAATATCAACAGCAACAACAGCAGCCACAGAGACACCGACACAAGCATACACACTCACGCACCATATTCAATTCAATCAAACGAAATGAAGTGAAACAAAAGGAGCACACAAGCATCAGCATCACCATCATAATCATCATTATGAAGCGCATATGATTCACAACCCGCGATTGAATCGACGAGATAGCAACGATACAACATTATCAATAGACAGAGTACAGCGATGATGATGACGACGACGACCACGATGATGAAGACAACAACGTCGTCGACGTTGAAATAATATCTTAAACTGGCGGTCCCCTTAACATGCACTTATGCTCACCAGCACAACTCGAAAGGAAATGATGACGAGATTTTTGATATTCGGTTATTTTGGGCATGTTCCAGTTCGCAACAGCAAACATCAACAACGAAAAACAAACTCAACACTCCCTTTATATTTTTGACACCGAGTGCCGATGAATCAGAGTGCTGTAATTACGGAATTTGCGATGATCTTTGGTTCAGTTAAGTAAACAGGAACCAGGAGCGATTCCTTTTAAACTGCGATTTTTTTTTCCTCTCTTCTTTCAGTTGCAGTGTGCGGGTATGCTTAATGTATGTAAACACATCATAAATACGACATTCATTTGCGTTTATGAAAATATGTTTTGATTCAGCAGCAATAGCAACAAATGTGTGGTCGATCATGCGCCCAATTGCACACTCACACATACAACACACGCGCACACACGCGCGCGCTCCACAAAGAAGCCAAATAAGAAAATTTTGAGTAAAGTAAGAAGAAAAAAATACAAATAGGAAAACAGGCACACATACGAGATTGAGACAGATCAAATGCTGGGGAAAAGATGCGAGAGATAGAGAAAGAGCAATATGAAACAAAACATAAAAAAGAAGCAAATAGAGCCGATCGTTTCGATCTAAGCAGCGCGACAATGCCTGGAGAGACAATATCAGAAGCCACAGCGAAAAATATATATAAGGCACACATATAGCAGCTCTACATTGGAATTGAAAACAGATTTTAGCCTTTTTCGTTCTCTTAACTCTCGACCGTATACGACAGATTAAGCTTATTAATCGCTATTTAGAAGAAAAACGACCACCACACTTATTTTATCAGAGAAACAGCAACAGCCAGCAGTAGTGGAAACAGTGTGAGCGCTCGTTCGCGGTCGCGTTCGCTACACATTGGCAAATGCACATATGTGAGGCATACAAGGCCTATGCTATAATATGTTCTTAGCTCACTTCAAAATCAAAATCAAATACACACCAAAACCGACAGCCACAAGATCAACGGCAAAACGGAATGAATATGTGGGAAAAAAAAATAACAATCAACACAGAAGAGTCACATATACGAACAAATCAGCCGAGAGCCGAGAGGCTCATGAATGCGCGCGCGACCAAGCACTATGTACAGAGTGTGCAGTACATACGGAGCGAATGAATGCCAAACAAACAACGAAGCGAACGAAAAAAAAGAGAAGCCAGCAACCACAATACACAACAAAGTGAAGAATTCAATTCAAAGATGTATTCGTAGAGGCAATAGTTAGAGCGAAAATACACTTAGTTGTGTGTATGGACGACGACGACAACGGCGACGACGACGTTGTTGTTGTTGCTGCTGTGCAGAGATAACGAGCGAAACCCGATTAACTTTATTTTTAAAACATCGTATTCGCCTAAGTATTTTTTTTTTCTTTCCTTATTTCTTTCCATTTTTTTTTCTTTTGTGGCTTGCGTTTGAGGCAGTTCAAAAATGATTTTGCACAACAACGACAAGGAAAATTATGATCCGCTGTATGTTTTTGCTGCCATCGACTACAGATTTTCATTAAAAAAAATTTTTCGGTGGAAGTTAAAAAAATTTCACGGACAGCTCACACGCTCATCCATATTTTTCTTTTCGCTTCTCTCTCTCTCTCTCTCTCTCTCTCTTGCTCTGACTGTTATCGATCTTTATCTATGTGTGACTGTCGCTCTCTTCTGCTCGCTCGTTTTTTCGACACACAGCCTCTTGAAACAGCTCTATTGATTTTGTGATCGTTGCCATTGTGTCTATATTCAAGACGTACTTTTTGTTTGCTGCTGGTGCTGGTGCTGTTGCTCTTTCTCTCTCTCTCTCTCGTTCTGCTCTTCCTTAGATTGCACATCGTCAAAGTATGTGACAACTCTCTTGATCACCACTTCAATTGACACTCGAAGTACTCTGGACAGGCGACTTTAACGCGTATACCCTTCTTTCATTTCCCAAGCACACACGCACGCACTAGACATTTATGTTGGTATTCCATGACGATTGGAATTCTAGACTCATTTCCGTTCTTGATTGATACGTATATTTTATATTATACATTTTGCTTACTTTGCAACTTTCATTTCGGCATTCAACATGAAAAATCGTCGACACACACATACACACATACACACGCACACTGGCGGACTTTGGGCTAAAACAATATTGGTATCTACGCGTGAAATGGGCAACAATTTGCTGTGTTTGATATTGATATGAGTTCGTCCTCAATCGAGTGGCACGACGTCGACGATTGATAAACCGCAAGCATGAGTAAGTTTGTTGTTGTTGCTTCATTTGTTTGCGCAAAACGTAAAATGTCGATTTTTTAACTCTGTGAAAATGAGCATTTGTTTTCCTTCTTCTTCTTCGTTACCTTCATTGATCGTGAACGAACTTCAATTCAAACGGATTTTCAAATTATTATCATCGTAAAATTTGTGTTGATAAAAAAAAAACGGTTCAGTTCGCTCAGAACTCACTATAAGTGGCAGAAAAAAAACTGACTACTACTTTTTGGTTACGCACCACAAAGATAAAAAAAAAAAGAACCGACAACTGTGTGTTTTTGTTTTTCACGTTTGATGACGATTGCAAAACATTTTTGTTTACTTTTGCCGATCTTATCGCTACCATTCCCATACGAAGTGAAAATTTCGATCAATTTCAATTTCCATTTCGGCGGTGCGTGTATGTGCGTATATACGCACGCCTGTCTATATTCACCCTTGTTTTTTTGTTTTGTTTTCAGTCTATTTCTCTAACGTTGCGATCGTTAACACATAGTTAACAACAACAATAACGGCGAAAGAAAAAAATAACAACAACTGACAGCAGTAAAACGCAATCTACATAGGCAACAACAAACAAGCATTAAAGGCCAAAAATCGCAAGAAAAACCCATATGAAAATAATTTTTTTTTTCTATTTCGAGTAAACACACAACAGAAAGTGACAGAAATAAAAATAATAACAACCAATAAAGTATACACAGAAGAAGAAATTATTTCGTTCGTTTTTTTTTTATAGAAAAAAAAAATACATACACACAATTGATCGCACGCACACTGTCAGCCCAGCCACTGTTGGTGGAATTATTTCAAATAATTTCGGATTTGATATTTTGATTACTTTGAACTGTTCGACTTGTGCAATTCGGATATATGTATATACGTTCATATATACATATGTGTATATATTTTATGCTGATTCGCCTTTGATTAAGTGTTACAATTTTCAACTGAGTTTAAACTGTTGATGATCTTTTTCGCGTTAGTGTTTTTGTTGTTGTTGTATTTCGTTGGTCTCTTCTTGATTGCAAATGTTTTTTTTTTCTGTACCGCACGGCGCGGACTTTATGGTATTTTTCCTTTATTTATTTCAGTGTGCAAATTTTTTTTTTTTTTTTGGTTTTCCATTTTCCCTCTCACCACAGAAACCGACCGAATTTTCCGCGTTTTTTTTCTCTCTTTTGGTTCGTGTTCGCTCTCTCTGTCTCTCTGTTGTTCTGTTGCTGTCTCTGTTGCTTTCAATTCGTCGAATACATTTGAACGAAGGAACAAAATAAAACAATTTCTTCTCGGTTTTTTTTCTTCTTTACTTTGTGAAGTGCTTGTGATCAGTATGAATATCAGCGCTATTTTCAGAGAAACAATATTATATTGTGTATTAACAGTTTCGAATACGAAACACAACTGAACAAAGTCTGAACATGAGAACTAATACTGTGTGTGAGTCGACGACACGATTATTGTTGTCACATAAACCAGTGATGGCCATATGATTCTGTCTCACACACACATACACACACTCATATCTACAGACATGCACGTACACAGATAAACCGACACATATACATAGAATGACTCTCTCTAGAGCTGGCCCCGACAAATGACGAGACAGACACTTCCATTTCGCTAATGGAAATCGAACCAGTCACCTGATACGCACCACTCAGAAACCAGCGAAGGATTTGACAAAGCAGAAAAACAAAATTGAATTTAAAAAAAAAAAACGGAACAATTGTGCAGAGTTGGAGGCTTTTCTTGTCGATTGTATCGGAATGGCCTCACCTAGAGAAAAATAAAGAGCCATCAACAACGAGAGAATTCAATTGAAAGAAACAAAGAGCATGAAGACAATGAAATTTCAATTGAAAATTGTGAACAAGCCCTTTTTTTCTGCATGAAAGAATGATTGAAATATGCGTTTGGCCCATCCTTGGTTTGTCACAACACCAGTGATGATGATCGTTTCAGTCCATTCTATCATGTTCACATGTGCTCGGCTTAGTGTTCGTGTATAAGTGTGTTGGGCATAAGGTAAAAGGCACATCAAGTCAACTCAACTCTCACACACTGTGTGTGTACGAGCGCGCGCGCTCGCTCGCTACTGATACACAAACAACACACCAAGAGTATAACGCATATAAGACGAAGAAAGCGACACGAGCAAGCATGAGCCAACACATGTGGCCGAAAGAAATGCAAAATAAACATCAAAACCAAAACGAATATATCGGATATTATGAAATTACTTGGGCCTTTGTTGTTGCTCTGCTTGTTTGTTTTTTCGAACGACGTGCCGTCGGTTTTCTTTTTATTCATTTATTCTTGTTATTTCCTTCATCTTCGCTCTTTCTTTTCTTCGGCTGCTCTACACACCAAATCACATACAATCGGTCAGTCTCGTGCGCACACACATCGATGATACAATGTGTTTGTGCTGCGATACGAGTGAGGGAAGTGAGAGCCTTTTGCAAATAGGCCCGCATACATGTATCGCAATGCATTATCAGGCGAGCATAGGCTTTATTCCAACTCAATCGCTCGCTTACTCTCTATCTCCATCTCTTTCTCTTTGTCTTGCTCTCGATGTTTCCCGCTCTCTGTCTCGCATTCACTTGGAGCGTGTGGTATGAATACAAATACACACCCAGTTGCATTTGACTTTTGTAGTTGTTGATATTTACTTTTTTTTTTCTCTCTCTTTATCTTGTGTATCTTTCAGCACTTGGGATTACCATTTATGTGTATAATTGAGGGCGATCGCATTGAACAATTCGATTTGAAAATAGCTGCTACTCTGCGGCTGCTACTATTTTGCACGCAGACACGCTTGGAATTTTTCGGATTCAGCGAACAACAATAAAAATACCATTTCACTTATCGTAAAGCAACAAGAATGAATCTTAAATCACTTACTCAACAACATACGATTCGATGTCATTGTATATCAGCTCAAGCACTGATAAGAGAACCGAGTCGGCCAGCCAGCCAAAGTGAGCGATCGGTGAGGGTGTGTATGTGTGCGAGAGATCGCAAAACCATAGAGAAATATCTCTGTGAGATTTCAATTGCACACATTGATTCGAATCGTTGGGTCTTTTTCTCTCTCAAAACTTACGTTGTACGGTGTAGATGGTTTAATCCCAATCAAATCCGCTTGGAATCTGCATATAATGACCGTTTTGCATAGAGACTTTGTGCAGAAAAGAAAAATTAGCGCCTTATCTTGAGGCGAACAAGACGTGTATATACAATTTAAGCGAAAACGAAGAAAAGAAAACAACACAATCCGTTATCTCATTAAAAATTGACAGTAGCTGATATTTGGTTGGAACGAAGAAGTTTTCGATTTCAAGCGTAAAACAAAAACGAAAGTTTTGCTCTAACGTCAGAAAAGCTCATCCACTTGAGAAACATTTGCAACAGTATTAATTAGCCAGTACACTTGAAATGTTGATCATTTCAACAGGTTGTCAAAGCAACAAGTTGTCTTTTCTTTCCCTCGATACGCGACGCGCCACTCATCAAAAACTAAAAACATAAGACATATTCTGATGCTGGTCATGCACCCCAGACAAACAAAAAGAGAAACACAAAAACAACGCTCCTTTTTGTTTTGTTTTTTTTTTTTTGATTCCGCGTATTTTTAGCATTTTCACTCGAATCCATTATGAGTTCAAACATTTGCTGTCCAATCACATGGCACAACAAATATTAATTCAATGTTTTGCAATCGCAAACATAGAAGAAGAAAAAACTATTCTAAGAAAAGAACAACAACAGCAGCAACAACAAAACTAACAGAGACTTAAACATAGTCTTTTTGCCATTATTCGCATGAAAAAGTTTGAATTGGCAGCCGTTTAAAAGTTTTGGACCGAACCGATGTTTTGAATATATCAAATGATTTTTTTCTTCTCTAAATTAATTAGCATTTCAGTGGGAGGCAGCAGCAGCATTAGCAGCAGCAGCACTCAGACAACCGACACACATGTTTGCATAGAGCAACGTTTCAACTCGATTGCAACAAAACTTAAATGTTAACCAATGACACATAATGTAAACACTGCGTTGAGCAATTATTCAATTTGCAATGAAACCAATTCTAGATGTTGGACAGCTTTTTTTTTATTGCTTCGAACGTTTTTCTTTGCTTTGCAAAGGGAAACCAAATTATACGCTTTAAATCAAACGAATTATTTTTTTTTTTCGTAGAGAGTAACGATGCCGATTAAAATTGTTTCGCAAGAAAAATTCGTTCGATATTGAAATGGGTTTTTATGGTTTGGATTTCATGGAATTACAACATTTAAATAAAATCACACGTTTAGTTTGGATTTCGTAAGAATAGAATTTTTTTTTCTATTGCCAGAAATCACGTGATTTATTTTCAAAGAAGAGAAAAATATTACATTTTTGCCCAAAATTCGCTAATTAAATTATGTAGATTGTATACAGTATATACTATTGTTTCGACGACGACGACGACGACGACGACGAAGCAGGGAAATCCTTTTGATAGGATTTGGCGCTATGTTCAAAAGGTAATAACTCGTTGAGCACATGTGATTGAGTGGAACGACAATCAAATGTGAAAGACGTCTGTCGCTTGTACGAACCGGCAAAGCAAATAGCAAAGATGATGAGAATTGATGAGACAAGAATGAACGTTGATGTAAGCAATCAATGTCGATGAAGCGTTCACTTTAATTGAAAGAATCAAGTGACTTTATTATACATTCTTTTATTGAGAAAATAGCATGAAAGAGAATCGAATTTGGTTTGGTTCAATGTCTGGACTTCGGGGGAAAATGCAGAAAACTGTACTGTGGCTATAAAAGCTATTCATCAGAATATAAAAAGTGAGTGTGTTCGACATTTTTGAATGGTTTAAAACTTTTGCTGGTTTGTCGTTGCAGGAACTTCTATTTTCCATTATTCTTTTTGATTTCTATTTTATGCGTAAAACTATATCGTTCATTTTCCTATTTCACGTGTTAAACTGTAATCCAATAGCTTAAAGGATACACCATTCCAATGGAATACTTTAAATTTTTTGGCCCTCCATTTTTTTTAAATTCCGTTTTTTAACTTGTAATTTTCATTTGTATTTTTCAGTCGTGTTTGTTATCGAATCGGTGGAGATCCGAGAGCATCCTTATCTACCGATTTCCAAAAAGTTTTGCGTTTCAATTGGAACAAAAACAAAGAACATAAACCAATTGTCATCTCAGCACCTTTTTCAATTACGAAGGAGATGGCTTTAGCAACACCTCCGCCAATGTCTCGAGCATATCTAACATTGCTGATTAATTTGCAGATATGTGCGTGCGGTGTGTGTGTGTGTGTGTGTGTGTGTGTGCAATCCGGTTGAATTCAGCATTGGCATCGAGCATTCATAAATGAATCATCTGAAAATCTCAATCTCTTGCAATGCTAGGTAATTACCACAAACGAAATGTCGTGCGCGTTTTATCACCGACAAAGCGATAACCGGTTGCTTCGTTCATTGTGTGTGTTCATCGAAAGCGAAATTGTTGGCGCGTCAAGTTCGTTTATGAAGACATTTTCCATGTTTGGCTGGTCTCGGTCGTGTTGTCAGCAGCAAATGAACCAACAAATGAACGAATGAGAGACAAAGAGCCGCTCGCGACCACCACAGCCGTTTTGTGCTCACTCTCTCTCTCTCCCTCTCTGTCTCTCTCTCTTTCATTGTGTGCATGATGTAATAATAAAATGCGGAATAAACACGCATTTATACTTAAGCTGCAATCTGCTGTTTATTTTACTCGCTGCTATCGCCATTGTATTCTGCACCGTCCGTTCGACTCATTACAATTGTTTCGCCTCTTCTCCTCTCATGTCTCTTCCTCTGTCGGTCGATGCGCGCGTTTTATTTCCATTTATCCACCCTGAAGCTTGTTTCAATAAATTCACTTTTATTTTTATTGGATGCTGCTGTGTTATTATTTAGTTGTAACGATTTCTTTCTTTCGCTTTTGCTTTCGTTCGTCTTTTTAAATCGCGTTGCTATTTGCGGCGATTTGGTGGCATGGTTTGTTTGTTTTTTTTTTCTTATGAAAATCATCCATCCGTATGCTTTATTATTGGTAAGCGTTCATTGAATTTTCGGCGCATTTGGCGTAAGTAAATTGTGTCTATCCATATTAGGCGACGGCAGCGGCGGCGGCGTTCACCATCAACCAATATTCTCGGCAAATTGAAAATGTTCACTACTCGCTGCGTAGTCGAATCGAATGCATGAATTCACATGGACACAACGCAACAACGGCGGTGAAGATTTAGTTATTTCAGCCTAGCCCTCCCTCGTCGTCCGCATCCGAAAAATCTCCATTTGATTTATGAAATTAAGCAATTGATTTATGCTTTTTATGCGGAAAACGGAACCATATTTCATACCAATTTACAAAGTGTATAAGCGCCATGCTATTGACGTCAACACAGCAAACAATACACAGCGGATGAGATAGATATAACCAAATTCAGATTCAAAAGATGGGACTTGCAAAATGAAAACTAAAAATCCCTTATCGGAACAAAGAATCCGCGAAAAGTTTTTATCCTAACATCAAACTCACACTTGGCATTTAATTCTATTGTAAGCGAGAAAAAAATTAGCAACATAAACAAGATGCTTCTAGGCCAGTTTTTGGTCGTTCATTCGAATAAAATTGAGGCAAATCGACCGGAGAAAAAATATTAATAAAAGCAAATAAATGGGATTTTAGAATTAAAGGGCTAAGGAGATGGTAGAGCGTAACGATTTCATTGGAAAAGCATATTTTATAGCTTAACAAAGATCTAATCTCACTCTTGAATTCAAACGACTTGTCGCAAAGATTTTTTTTTTGTTATTAATTTTTTTTATGATATTTTCCTCTTTTGTCCTTTTCCTTCCATTTTTTCATACTTTTCTTTGTTCTCTTAAATGCATGTCCCTTTTTAAAATACTTGGTTTTTCAATTTTCAGTTTTGTTTGGATTCTTCATTACAGTTTCAGTTTCCGATTGCTTTTTTTTCAATTCCAGTTTGTCTAGAGAGTTTAAAACAATTTTCGCGGAACAAAATGGAGACTCAGAACTTTGGGTAAATTAATGAGCATCCATTAGGAAAAAGTTTTCTTTTTGAACTAATGAATTGATTTGCTTTGGCTTCTTCTTGGCTGTGTCAATATTATTTGATGTCTTCTTTTCCCGTCACAGATGATCTGAACGGTTGTCTTCAGCTCTGAATGTTGTTACGGCGCGGTTGTCAGACGAGATAGAGACAGGCAAAGAGCATGAGAAAGGGAAGGAGAGAAAGAGAGAAAGAGAGAGAGAGAAGAAAAAAATGTTGTGCTAAGCAGAGCATGTAGTAAGTTGTAAGCTATCATGTTTGTTTGATAAGGAGAAAGAAGTGGTGCGTTGCGTTGTAGCATAAAACCGAGTGCGAATATCACGATAAAAAAGGGCAATTACGACAAGAAAGTTTACAATTGGCAAGCGAGCGACCGAGACAGCGTGCATAAGCTGAACGGTGCAGTGATAAGAGACTGGTGACCATTGAAATGATCAATAATGAAAAGAGCAAAATTAAACACAGTTCGAACATGATGTAGCTTTGGCCAATACACAACGAGAAAAGGGAAAAAACGAGTGTGAATCACGGGAAAGCACGCAGCATCACCCGTAGCAGCAGCAGCAGCAGTATTGGCGGCAGTATTGGCGGCGAATGTATAAACAATCGAAGTAGTACAATCGAATCAAAGGCGGTAAACAGCTGGTAAAAGCATTGTCAACAACGCACGAGTCCACGAGAAACACCAACGCCAGCGAAACACTAGTGAAATAAGAGGAACAAAATGAACAGCAACAAAAAAAAAACAGAGCAGACAAACAGGCAAAACAAATGTATGTGTAGCATAAAATGCAAACCATTACCAAAAATGCAGAGACGCACGCGGCATCCAAAAAAAAACTCAACCAACAAAGCAACGGAGCAAGAGAAGAAGACGAATAACCAGAAAAAAAAACGGCAAAAAATTGAGTGTTATGTGGTGGCGAGAGAACAGCTGCCTAAATGAGATATTTGTTGGGTTGTTTTTTTTTTTTTAGGTGGAGCGAACGAGCTCTGTTCGGACCGACCGTTTCATGTGTACACTGTACAGTGTACACACTGTGTGTGCTCGGTGTGTAGCCAATTGTACTGAGCAAGCAGCAGCAACAGCAGCAACAGCAGCAACAACAACGGCAGCAACCGAGCAACGAACAGCACCGTACACATAGCACACGCTGTACAACGAGAACCGATGTGCGATTTGTGTGCTTATAAAATGCTGTTGTGCTTTTAAATGCCAGAGTCAAGACGGAGCGCTTACATGATTTTCCTCACAGTATGACAAAATTTCTTGACGTGAACGGATGCATCAACCCATAGAGTCTCTATCGTCATAGTCGTCGGAATCGGTACTTTAGCCGTTTTCGATATTCACGCAAAATAAAAGCGACCAAACGAAAAAAAAAAAAAAGATACAAAAGAGCGAGAGATACCGAGACACAAGAGAATTTTACACAGCATTGTGAACATACCGATGGATTGCGAATGTGAATCGTAATCAGTTGTATATTGTTGCTTGTTTCGTGTGTTTCAATTTTTTCAAACATAGTTTTCGGTTTTGTTTTTATTGAATAAATTTCTGCGTGAGTTTTTTCTATTTCGGTTTTCATTGCATGAATGTGGGAAAAAAGAACCGAGGAGCGAAATAGAAAGAGAGAGAGAGAGAGAGAGAGAGTGATATGCAACGTGCAATGCCAATCATAAACTGATTTGTGAAAAATGAACAAGCAAAATGCTTAACCGTTTCAAATGATTTTCATTGAAAATTCAAACAGACAATGAACGCTCAACTCGAAATGCAAACTGAATGAACAGTCGGTTTTATTCATGAGCATCGATACACTTTTTACACCGATACAACCCGATGATCTGACACACAAAATACACCGACTCCTTGAAGAATGGAATTAAAAACTGAATTATTGAATTAAAACCACTTGTTTAACTGCAAAAATATAACGAACTCAGTGGAAATTGAAGAAATTCGAAGGATGAGGTACAATTCTTTCATCGAATCTGTGTGTGAATCGTGATAAAACAAATGTTTTAATGTTATCAATAAAATAAAAAAAATAACTATAAATTGATGTTTAATACAAATCATAAGCACTAAACGAAAATTTAAGTGAAGAACGAAAGTGAAAAAGATTCTTAAGAACAGAGCGAAATTGAATACGTTCAAGCGAATCAAGCTTTCGGAAAAGAATTCAAATCCCAAGCTTCGAAATAAAACCTGTGCATAAAACTCAACGGCCAACCAGTTGCTTTGCGAATCGAAAAAGAATCGTGTGAAATGATGAGTGTGCAAATGAGAATAGCGCGACGACCGCATTAATTTGGCGTACGTTCATCGTTTATTACTTTATTTTTTTATTGACATCATTTGATATTGATGCTTTTGCTCTCACTCTTCGATCTCAATCGATGGCAGCGATGAATTCGAATAAAATTTGTGTTTTATTTATGCTCTCCAAACGTGATAGACAAACGCAAAAATAGCCAAATACGCACACGACAGACAAATTGAAACGCGCTTTCGCAAAGATAGAGAATAGAAAAAAAAGAGCATACACATTACGTGAATCTAATGAGAAAACGCATACACGACGACAAGAACAGCGCAAACACAACAGTGAGTGATGTTTAGAGAATGAACGAAAACGAGAGATAGACACGGAGAGAAAAAGAAAAAAACTGAACAGAAATCAGACAGACGCACAGAAACACACCATTCATCGGTCCAATTGTTATTATTGACTCTCTCTCTCTCTCTCTCTCTCTCTCTCTCTCTCTCTCTCTCTCTCTCTCTCTCTCTTTTTTTTTCATTTATTCCAATAATTACCTAATTAAATGTATTATTTAATTATTGTGACGATTTGTTGCTAGTTATCAGTGTTTCTGTTTTTTTTTCTTCTTTTGTCGTTCGCACAAATTCGCACACGATTCCCCGCTAACTATAAATTCTCGTCATCTCTATCTCGTCAGTCAGCCGTCGACTCGTTGTTTTCATCTTGGTGTGTCTTTGAAACAATTGACATAGAAATCATTTGCATTTGAATTGTGCGCGTACCGAACACAAAACAGCATTTTTTCGATTTTTGGCAGCTCGATCACGTACAACGAAGACACGAAAAAAAGGTAAAAAATTCTAGACCATTCAATACGTTGCCGTTGAAACGGTTTGGAAAAGTGTAATGAAAACAGCTGATTTCAATTGAGACATGTTAATATCGTTAATTATACGTACGTTTTTCAAACGAGCCAACACATATTTTGGGTGATTTTCAACCGGGTGCGTTCACAACGATGAGTTTCTTCAAGCATTGCTTGGTTTGAGTGTAGAAAATTCGATGGGTTTCGCAGAATTCCGGCGTATTTTGGGGAATTTTGATGAATTTCAGCGTATTTTCGTTGAATTTTCGTGGGCTTTGATAGATTTTAATCAAAAATTTCGGTGACTTTTTCGATATTGTGCTTATTCAGTTCGATTTGTAAATGATTTTGTTGAAAAACCGACGATTGGCTATCAAGTATTGTTGTCAATGATCGTTTTTTTTTTTTCAAATGATCATTGAACTGTTTTGCATTGTTTCCTTCAATTTCCGTCCACTTGATCGATGATCATTGCCAATCGATCGAATGCAAACGGCATTCGGCTGGAAAGTGCATCACACACGTACGTACGCACACACATGCACACCGAGCGAATCAAATTCATTTTGACAGAAAACAATGAGCCCATTTCTCACGTTCGCATCACATCACTCAGTGCTCCGTTGACCGTGTGTTCTGGCTGTGCGTTGTTGTTACTGCTTCAAACGCAAAATATCGAGAGGCAGAGAGGGAAAAAAGCAACACACATCAGTTTCCAGCAAATATTTGTTTGTTATTGATTTATGCATTATAATCGTAGAACATTGAATGTTTCTTTTTTCCATTGAATATTATTTTAATTTGATTAAATGTGCAATCGTAGTCGCGCCTGCACTTGCACTATCAAGCTCAATGCAAGTTCGATTTTGAGCGCATACAAACATCTATACACCCATTCATGACCGTTTGCGCTTGAATATCGGTTAAAAGTGAAAAATGGCTAAATAAAAATGAACGCAAGAAACGAAAAAAAAAAAACGAATCAAACACCGATTCAAGCTCGAGTGCGACCAATAAAAATGGTAAACGCGTGAGCGAGCGAGTGAGCGCTTACAGCAAAACTTTTAAAATGAGCCTAAGTTGTCAGGCACACTGCGTGTGCGAAGAGAAACACAGAGAACATTGGTATGCGTTAGAACTGTGTGCAAAATGCTTTGCAACCGCCACAGCAACGACGAAAAAACAAACACGCCAGCGACAGACGAAATACAGAGAGACACAACGAATCTATTTCTGATTTGATTTGTGTTTTATTTGTTTAAAAAATCATCATTGCAATTCGAAAATTTAATGCGCTTATTATCTGGCATTCATTCAACACATTATATTGCCCCGTTCACATATAAATAAATGTGCGCGCACGCGAGAGATAGAGAGAAGAAACAGAAGAAGAAGAAGAAGAAGAAAAAAGAACGTCAACTGCACACAGTGCACACGTATAAATACGCGGTTTCGTTGCGCTCGCGCCAATTGGGCTTGTTCATTGGATTCGGTCTTTTGCGTGCGCGATTTGGAGCCTGTGTGCATTTAGCACATTGTCAAGTGCACATACACGACAGAAAGCATGAGAATTGCGCCAGCGAACGGCACAAAAAAAAACGAGATCGAGCGACTAAGCGACTGAGCGACTTAAAAGTGAGAGTGAAAATACGGCGCTCAATTGACGAAAGTTTTAAAACTATTCGTGGTTTACAATTATTAGTCCATTTGGAGAGAATGATGTTCTTGTTGAATCGAAACAATGAACACACAGCCAGACACAAACACCGAAAATGGGGACAAACTCCGATTCAGTAAATGGTCGTCATTGTGACAATGGAGAACCTTCTAACGACCGATAAAAACTGTAATTCGGTTTTTTTTTTCAGCTAATGTGCCACCCGATCCGAAAAATCCGCCTTCGAAAAGAACGACATACAACGACCGAATGAATGCAAAAAAGTGGCCAATATCGCGCTGGTTTGAAAAACAAAAATCGTAAATAAAGAGACAATCGCACAAATGGGTCTTGTTGCCGCGAAATTATTTTCCTATTTGTGTGCTCATTTGTTTCTTCTTCTTCTTCTTTGCTTTCATTCTTGGAAAGTGCTTTTATCATATACTTGGATTAACAATGATTGTATGTGTCTTTGTATGTGACTCATTTGCACCTACTAATTAAAGAACTGCGGCTTTGTTACCGTAAATGAACTATCGCTTGAATGGTTCATTGATATCAAAAGCGAAAAGACCTCAATTGAAAATTGTATTGAACTTCTTTTTTTCTCAATAAGCCAAGCCAATTGGGCTTAAATATAATGACTCAATCGGTATTCTACCGACCATCTAGGTCGATGCAACAGTTGATCGACGCCACAAATGAGACAGCTTTTGAACAACATTGAACAAGATTGAAAAATACAGAATTCGAATCGAGGATGCATGTTCGTTTTTAAGGAGAGGTACTCGTTGTTGGGTGTTTTTCGAGAATGTCGGAGAGTTACACAATTTGGAAATTGGCAGATTGTCCCAAAAGAAAAAAAAGGACTTCGTCCCAAAAAAATACCATTTTTTTTTTCCAGAACGGAAACAAATTGTTGAATGAAAAATCGCTTTTCTAAAGCCTCTCAAAACGAATGCATCGTTCAAAAGAATCATTTCATTTGTTTCAAGTTTGCATTGTTTGCTTATCCTATTTTCCTTTTAGAATGAATGCAGTCTTTGAAATAATATGTTACCCATTGAATGAGTCGATTTTTTTTTTCGTGCCTGGCAAATGCACAGAAGTCGGTCGTCACACACGCTTCCTTTGTATCAGTATTTCTTTAAGCGAAGGAATCAGACGAGAGTTGGATGCATTTGATGTGCGTTTGTATACCGAACCAGCATGTGAGTGTTTGTAAATACGTTTAATTTTCGCATGAGACGGCGCACATTCAGATATACGTTGAGCGCATCAATTACACAATCCTTTTGATTTTCTCATCTGCATCTTGTCACTCACTTTGATCGGATTTCTCTCTTTATATATCTCTCGCTCGCTCGTTGCGACAGCCGCCAAGGCTTTTCGTCAATTTTTCGTGACTTTGTTCGGTTGTTGCTTATTCGCTTTTCCGTCATTTTCACTGGCTGGCCAAATGCGTAGTGTGTGGAATACAAACACGAATAATAATTGAATATATTTAATTGGGTTATCTATTTTTAATTCGAATGGTGATAACCGAAAACCATGTTCTATATTATAATGTAGGCAAAAAAAGTGGCGATTACACGTTGTAACGTATATTTCTCTCTCTTTCACTCGTTGAACATTTACCGAAGAAATGCTTCTAACCGATATAATAACAATAATTGGCATTTGAGTAACAACCGTGTGACAATGCGTATCGAACTGAGCAAATTCGCTCGTAATAATTATTGCAATGTTTTCGTTGTGGAAGCAATGACTTTAGAACAAAAAAGCCAGCAACAGCCAGCGTTTGAAACGATTCGTTTCAAATTTTATTTGTTTGTTTGTTTGTTCACGAATGTTTCAATAAAATGTTGAACATCTTCGCAAGTAGTTTCACTTTTTTTCTTTCATTTGCTCAAAGAAAAAAAAAATACCGACAACGGGTTCCGTTTATCGTCACATGAGCAGTAGTATTCTTGGGGCATGGTGCGAGGCATGACACCTCGATAAGTATGTTAATAAGATATCCGATGAACGGCTTTATTATGTGTTAAGTCATTTTTCCCTCTCTCTCTCTCTCTCTCTCTCTCTTTCTCTTCCAAATCATTACAACAACAACTCGAAATTTCGAACGAGACTAGATAGTTAAACAAGTGAATGAGTTGGTGGAGCGAAAATAGCGAAACAGAAGACGTATAAAGAAGATACCTATGCTAATAAATTTTTTGGCTAATATACTGTTTACATATTGTCTCTTTGCTCCAAATTAGTATTTATTGACAAATACGAAGCGACTGTGTTCACAGCGTAAATAACAGCTCATTCGACCGTTTTTTTTCTCTCTAGTTCACGTCATTTCGAGAGAATGATAGCGCCAATGCTAAACATAGAGAAAGAGAGAGAGAGAGAGAGAGAGAGAGAGAGAGAGAGAGTGCAAAAAAGTGAACAACAAAGAAAATTTATGAGAAATTAGTGCTATTACTAGCAATAATTGTTGTTGTATTGCCGAACGTTTTTTCTTTCCAATGATTTGGTTTTTGTATTGCCTCAATACGTTCGAATTGCCGTTTGTTCAACTACACCACTAAAGCGAGAAACGTCACTCATTCTTTTTTCCTTATTAAAGAAAAAGAATTTTGGCAGTGCGGGACTCGAACACCGCATACTCAGATTGCCGGTCTGATGCTTAAATTATTAATTTTCTCATAAATGCTCGTCGTTCTCAAACAATAACGACTAACAACAGCAACAAAAAAGAGAGCGCAATCTCTCCTCAATAAACTATATCGAAGAGTGGTTCTCTCGTAAAATAAAAACCAACACAAAAACCTTTCGCAGTAATACACTGCAAAAACAATGTGTGTAATGGCAATGCTTGTCACACTTTGAGCCTACGTTCAACTGAATTACTAGCGAGCTAAAACGTCGTTCGGCAGGTGGCTGAATGGTTAAGCATCAGACCGGCAATCTGAGTATGCGGTGTTCGAGTCCCGCACTGCCAAAATTCTTTTTCTTTAATAAGGAAAAAAGAATGAGTGACGTTTCTCGCTTTAGTGGTGTAGTTGAACAAACGGCAATTCGAACGTATTGAGGCAATACAAAAACCAAATCATTAACAAAGAAAATGTTACAAAACAAATGTCGCTATTATACTGAGCCGAAATGCGAAAGCGGGTCCACAACACTCTTGCTCATTCGCCAGCTCAAACTGAATTGATAAATGTACGCTTGTTCATATTGCAACGGAAAGTTACTGAAATTGCAATGGAATTGCTCGAAACAATTGATTTTCATTAAAGAAATATTGTCGTTGTTTTGAAAACCGATGGCCACGATGATTTACGAACGATGACGGGCAAATTCATTCATTACACATCGGGACAGTGTTCGGCGTGCACAGAAAGCACCCTTGATGCCGATGATTGGGGAAAATGTAGAACATCGCTGTCATTTTCCGTTAAGCTCATTTATTTAGGAGCTCATTTGTTGCATCCTTTCGCCGAACAAATAATAAATCACCCGGTTTAAAACGGGATCCGAAACGAGAGCAATTATATATCATTTTAAGTGGCCGGGAACATGCGACGAAGGGCGACGAATGCTCCAGACAGCGAGTAGGACCGAGCGAGCGAGAGAGTGAGCGATGAAGAGAGAGAGAGAGAGAGAGACTTCTCAGATGATAAAAGAAAAGAAAAAGAGAGTTTAAATAAGCAATTTGTATACATCTCAAGCAAATATGATGATTGACGCGTGTTTATATGCCAAAAAAAACGTTTACAAACAATAAAACAACACCTCATTGACCCCGGCCGCAGCGCGAAAGAAAAAAGAATCTCATTTGGGAATCTTTTCACTCGTCTCACTTTATTTGCAAATCATTTTTCTTCTTGCAAACGAAGTGAAAAGGAAAATTTGGGTTATTTGTACAGTTTAGTTAACAAATTAGGCAATTGGAAACGGCAACAAACAAAAATCTGACATTTTGATCTGTGCACCTCGGAGGTTGATACTTGATTTCACTTGAACATCTCATTCCGAACACGTACTCGATGTGCGGCACGCGACCGTTTTTCGGTACATTCACACTCCGGCCATTTTCGGACGTGAAAACAGCGATGCTTTCGTCTTCTCCTCCCAAAAAAGCGTTATTAATTTCGGTGTTCTTTTTTTGTGTGACTGGCTGTTGGGATGGACGCTCATAAATTCACATTGTGACAAATTTCCCCCATTCGTCACGTAATCTAATCGCTTTAAATCAGTTAAATGAATTCTTCTTGTTCATCATCATTGTCGCCCCCCCCCCCCCCTCTTCGAGCGCATGTCAGCGATGCCATCATCGGCACGCTGCACATCTCTCGTGTGTATCATTTCGCAAATTGTTACTCAATCGACGCAAATGCAAACAATCATCGTATTTTTTTTTATCTCATTCAATTGATCCAAAACCCGCGCTCACTCACCAGCTGTTGTTTATTTTCCCATCAATTGATTTGGCGTTATTTTTCTTCTTCTATTCCAATAGCAAGCGAAGAGAGCGAGCAAGAAAGAAAGGAAAACTCCGTTTTCAGGGTAATTGCACAAATAAACATTGGAACAAATTTACGATTTTTATTTAAATTGATTCACGCATTATTTATGCGTCATCAAATTAAAACCCACATATTTGCCGTAGAATTTTTATTGGTTTGACTCTCTGTGTGCTGGTTTTTTTTTTGTTGTCCTCTTCTTCGCTTTGGCAAAAATTGTATTTTTTTTTCATTACGTTCCACTTGTGCAAAAGGTGAAATCGATATTGAATGTGATAAAAAAAATTCATGCGATTAATGGATTTTTGGCTTGGCTTAAAATTAGGTCTATGCTAAATGCAAAAAAAGCCGCTTTTTTCTATCTCACTCCAAATTATACGATTTGATAGAGAACGAAAGAGCAATTGGATGGAAAATTGGCAATTTTCTACACCAAGCAAGAAAAAAAGTGGAACGAATTGTTTTTCCGGCAGAATAAAAACCGAAAATGTGCATGTGGAACGAACCTTTAAACGGATGATATGGGAAGTATGGCTCGCGCACAGCCCAGAACCACCGAGAAAAAGAATTACGAAGAAAGAGAGCACAGACTGTTTTTTTTTTTTATTGAAACACCGATAAATTTGCCTTCTAAATAGCCTAAATTTGATTGTGGTGTTGTTGGATTTTTTTGTTTCTCTTCGCTTTTTGTGTGTAAACAACAACACGTACACACATTTGGCCCCCCCCATAAATTAACCAAACACCTACTTAACTGCCTTTACCATTTCAACAATTCACACATTTAAATTGATATTTAAATGTGCTCAATGTCGACGACGACGACGAATACGGCAGCAGAGGCGGCTGCAATGCCAATGCAAACATAGGGGTATTGCAACTACCATAAAATATATGTATTTCATCAAGTTTATCAAGCTCTTTCCAAGTTTATGCATAGTGTTGAACTTTTGTTCAAGCTCTACCATCGAAATGTACAGTAAAATAATTTACGGGCACGACGTAAGATGGCGTTTTTTCTGGTCAAAAAAGTTGCAATATCCCTTTGAATGCAAACATTCGCAGAATTCGTTTTGCGCGCATTTCATGAGAAGGAAATTGAATTTGGCCACAATTTTCCAGAAAATTAAATCGATTAGTAGTAGAAATGGCGAGCCAATGCCATTATCAAAATTAAAACATTTTTTTTCCTTTTCAATTTCAGAAGAATTTGGAGAAAAAAATTCGGAGAATTTGAATAAAGAATAACAACAAAAACAACAACAACAACGACGATTGAAAAACGAGAACAACGCCACCAGCTCAACATACAATGAAATTGTCGTAGGGCAAAACAGGAACAACAGCAACAACAGAGGAAAAAAAACCAGCAACACATCGATTTAAATACAAATAAATCAGTTGGGAAGAAGGAAAAAAAAACGAGGGGAGAAAAATAAACGGGTACATGCAGGAGCTTTCATTCGGTTGTTGACTGTATGTAGCGCTATAAATGTGTGACTCACAAATCACAATTCAATGCACCAATATCCATGAATACGATCATGAAATCTGCTGGTTTCGTCTACATGTATATGTGCGTCTATACGAATATTATGGTTGTCGGTGAACTGTTCACATTGGGCTATTTGACTGGATCACAGCGGCGATCAGGAAATTTAGAGTATGCCAAACCAGGTAAATGGAACTTTTTCTTTCATACACTGACACCGACCGACCGACCGACCGACAGTGGTGCCGCTCATTCTCTGTCTCTCTCTTTCTCTCCTTCTCATACACTAAATCATCTCCATACCTCAACTTTCGACGCGTGCACACAGTTTCGCACTAATTACTTTAATGGAATTTTCCAATTACTCCACCGAAAAAAGAGTGAGCTGCTGCTGCAGCAGCAATAGCAACATTTAATTAGCTACGGTTTTTTGTTGCAAAACTTAAATTGAATCCAATGGCGAAGAAGCATTATGGAAACTTGTGTCTCACAATCAAAAGTTTTATTCTATCATTTTTCGTATGCATTCACACTCTCTCATCGTTTCTCATCGAAACTAATACACAGAGATGTGAGTGTGTGCGTGTGTGAAGAGCGGATAGAGTTTTTCTAATTAACTTCATATGGAAAAATCAGATGATGCATTCATTTTTTTCCACAATTGAATGACCCATTTCGTTTTGCATTGAATGAAATGGACGATGCAACAAAAAAAAAAACGATACAACCAACAATCAATACATTCGATGCACTTTGAATATGGACGAGAGACATCAACAAACATTCAAAACGCGATTAGACGAGAGGGAACAAAAAAAACTACCATTCGAAATTACTGTCATCATTTTTATTGACGTTTTTGTACATTGTTGCACAGATGTGGAGCAAATTGAGCAACGACAACTAGTTTGAACATGAACATCGAATGCGCGTTCTATTCGCTTGCACAGGATGTATTCAAGGGGAAGAAGGCAGATGAGAGAGACAGAGAGAGATTGAAATAGAACGAGTGAGATAGAAAGAGCGAAAAAGCAAGTGGGAAAGAGAAAGAGCAAGAGGAAAAGAGAGAGAGAAAAACAATGAACATTACAAAATGCAAGTGAATGGAAAAGCTTTTAACCCGTAGAGAGAAAAAAATGCGTTGAGTTTTGAAAATTGATTTGCCGGCTGTGATTTATATGAAAAATGTGCGAGCGGAAAGCCCAATGAAAACACCGTGCAACGCATGTTTCTGCACATGAGAAATTCCGATTGCTTGTTTTAGAGGACCAAAAACCAAGCACTTTTGCATCATTAGTTTGTTCGAAACCACGTCTAGATTTTTTTTTATCAACACATATAACCCAAATTTCAGGTCAAAATGAGCAAATCACAAACAAGAGCTTCGATTTGATAGGTAAATGCAAATGATTTCTACCTTTTCTGCCTTTGAACATCTAGTATGATCCT